ATTTAACTTTTGTTCCCTTCGCCGCAGCAGCCTCGGTCGCTGTGCCTTCCGGGCTTCCAGCCACCTGGCGAGGACCGGAAGCAAGGAGGTCACCGAGAGGCTTCTGGGGCTCTTGAAAAGAATTATTAATTGCAAATATGTTTGAAATAAACAAAAACAAGATAAAGGATCTCCCAGTAGCCCTCTGCCTGTAGCTGGTCTCGCGCTGGGCTCTGGCTGATCTTTGCAGCCGCAGGGGCGGCGCGGCGGCGCACTGCAGCAGAGGCAGCCGCCCCAGTATAAAGCCTCCAATTTAAGAAGATATTAATTTAAAATGATTAAATTGGCTCTTTAGTTAGGTGCTTCTTGCTGATCATCGAGGCGTCGCATTAGGACAGCCGCAGCATGTGCAGCTCTGCGGACCAGTGGTCACTTGCTGCTGCTGCCTCCATCACACTGCAACACGTGCCCTGCGGCTAATTGGCGGCTTTTCTTTCATATTTTTAGCATTAACTGTCTTCAATATGAAGCTGAAATCAAAGAAGGCTGAATATTGAATAATTTCAGCCCCGTGGGAAGCCTGCATATGCGTGCAGCCGCAGCGGCGGCGTGGCGGCCCCCTCACAGCTCGTTGAGTGACTAGTCTGAATCCATTAAAGCAATACCCGGATTATTTTGTCTCTCTATCAATTTTACCAAACAAATTTAAGCATTTTTCATTGTTTTTGGCGAAAATTTTACCTTGGCTCGTCAAGACCGTCGGAAGAGGCCTAGGGTTCCGCACACCCGCCTGCAGCACGCGACCGCCAGCGCGGTGGCTGAGGGCTTCTCTGGGGCTTCAGCTGTTCCTGAAGGGTTCTAAATTAGTTCTTAGCCAAGCTGGAGCCTTATTTCATCTTTGAGCAGGAACATGAGCCAGCAGCAACAGCAGCAGCAGCTGCAGAACACGGCAAACTTGTTGCACTGGTCCCGATACAGCTCGAGTTCCGCTGAGCTCCCTCTGGAGGACGTGCCCCTCGAAAGTTCCTCCAGAGAAGAAACAGATCCAGCAGAAGCCCGGGAATGGGGCCCCGCGAGCCCCCTGGGGGCCTCCCCGGGGGCCCCGGGGGCCCCCGAGGCCCCCGGCGGGGCTGGCGAGCTGGCGCAAGACAGGCAGGATCTGCTGCCCGCGAAGCGGAGGGGGGGCTGGGCAGCTCTTAAAGTGCTGCAGGAGCTGCTGTCGGTGGCGGCGTTTCACCGGCAGCTGCTGCTGACGGTGTTTTGCTTCAGCTTCCCGTTGCTGCTGTTTGCGGGGTGGAGCTGCGCAGACAGCCGGGCGCGGTGTCTGTACGCCGTGGCCGTGATGGTCCTTTGCTGGCTCTCCAACTGCCTGGACCCCTACGCAGTGGCTTTGCTGCCTTTCGTGTTGTTTCCGGGGCTGCGGGTGGCCTCAGTGGGCCTGGTGGCTTCCTTTTACATGAACTCCGTCAGTTTCTTGATCTTCGGCTCCAGCATGATGGCTGCAGCGCTGCGGCGGGTCAAGCTGGACCTCGCTGCTGCCCGCTGGCTCGCCCGCATCTCCCCGCAGCACCCTGAGGACTTGGCCTTGTGTCTCATGTTGACTTGCTTTTCCATTTCCACTTGTCTCAGCAACACTGGCACTATGCTCATCTTCTGTCCCATCATTGACTTGCTCATAAGGGGGCTTCATCCCCGCACTTACGGGGGAGAGTCTTCGCCCGCAGACGGGGGGGGGCCAGCGCCGCAGCAGCAGCAGCAGCAGCGGCAGCAGCAGCGGCAGCAGCAGCAGCAGCAGCAGCAGCAGCAGGAGAGCGTGGACTCAGACTTGTCCCGCTGCGCGTCTGGGTCCAGAGGCAAAGTGAGCCCTCTGGACAATTGTCTTTGCGTTATTTCCGTCGCGCCGTCGACGGCCGTCACGGGCTCCTCCCCTGCTGCAGCAGCTTCCCCACCGCCGCAGCAGCAGGAAGCCAGTGGACCACTGGACCAGCAGCTCGAGGAGGAGATCCTGCACGAGCCCCCGAAGCTGCGGCGAATCCGCAACTTGCTGTTCATTGGCTGCGCCTACGCAGCCACGCTGGGGGGCTCAGCTACGGTGACAGGCTCCACAAGCAACGCCATATTTCTGGCAGTCCTCGATGCAATGTATGCCACTCTTCCTGCTGCTGCTGGGGCTGGGGGCCCCCAAGTGAACCCAGTGACTTACACAACGTGGCTGGTGGTTTCTTTGCCCTTAGCTCTTGTGCAGCTCTTCATGGTTTGGGCTTCTCTGTGTGCCCTCTGGACGGGCCCCAGGGCAACAAAGGCGGCTTTGGCGCGGCTCGCCTGTTGCTGCTGCAGGCCCCTAAAAGCAGCCCTTTGCTGCTGCTGCTGCTGCAAGTGGGCGCGCCCACGCCGCGCGAGCCGGGAGCTCAGCCCTGCTGCAGCTGCCCCGGGGGGCCCCGGGAGCCAGGGGGCCCCCGGAGGCACCAGGGGCCCCACAGGCGATCCATGCGCTGCAGAGCACGGGGAACTTTACTGGGGGCGCGTGTACGTGGTTGTGGCCTGGCTGCTGCTGGTCTGTTTGTGGCTGTCTCGAAAGACAATTGTGGCAGCAGTGCCAGGCTGGGGCACTCCTTGGGAAGGCTTCATAGATGATTCTTTCGCAGCTGTGGTGGTGCCTCTAGGCCTCTGGTTTGCACCCCTCTATCCTAGGCGCCCCAAGCCCTCTATTGCAAGAGCTGTGAGCCCGTAGTTGAAGCTTCAGCGCATGCACACTGCAAAATGCAAAAGAAAACTAGACCCTTTGAACAGATCGAAGGGCTGAAATGGAGGGCCACGACTCCTTTATACTTATATAAGCTGTGGGCACCCAGTAGTATACTTCTGATGCATATTCGGTTCGAAGCCGACGAGATCTCAAACCTTTCATGTTTCGTTTGCTGTTCTTGTTTGCAAACCTTATGCAGATTTCTGCCCCTGTGCGCTGGGCAAAAAGACAGCGAAGGGTCCGCTTTCCTGAGAATGATGCTGACGAGGCCCCTGCTGCTGCGGCTGCTGCTGCACCGCGCACTGCAGCAGCAACTCGAAAGCAGCCTGAGTTCGAAGGGATCCTCACGTTCTCAGTGGTTGAGAAGGAGATGGACTGGGGGCTGCTCTTCTTGCTGGGAAGCGGCTTCGTGGTGGCGTCTGTGTCCCATGTTTGTGGGCTCGATTTGGTTTTAATAGACTACATGGAGTTTCTGAAACAGCAGACCAAAGAAACCCAAGTTGCTTGCATTATGGCTATGGCAGCGCTCGTCACCCAGGTCACCAGCAACACGGCCACTGCCAGTATCATCATGCCTTTGCTTTCAACTGCTGCCAAAGGGCTGCAGGGGAACCCTTTGCTGCTGCTGCTTGCTGCAAACGTAAGAAATAAGATGATAAGCAATGACGTGAAAATACACGAAATGACTTAGGTGTGCACACTACTACCTACTACATGCGTGCTTACTTTGTACTGGGAATACAAATTTTCAAGAAAACCGTAAACGTTCAAGTAGCTCACGAGCACACATAGTCGAGATTCTAGTGCTAAAATGGCCCCCCACAAGGAGATGTGCTCAGTGATTCACCTACATGCTACGCTCATAAAACAGTACAGGTTTAGCTTCTGTAAGGCTTAACAGATTCTATTGCTGTTGAAGGGGTTTCCTCTGCAGTCTTGTGTTAGGTGCACGTTGTCACTCCGAAGCTGTATGAGCTTGGGTAAAGCATGCGATTGCGTGAGTAGGGCAGCTTGTAGCGAGTCCGCTTTTGCATAATGGTGTCTGCCTGTCTTCGTTTTTTTTGTTTTGCAGTTCGCGACCACGCTGGGCTTTCTGCTGCCCGTCAGCACGGCCTCCAACGCAGTCATAGTTCGATTCACGCGAATCGGAGTTTGGCAGTTCTTCCTCAGCGGCCTGTTGCCGCTGGTTCTTTGCCTCGGGGCAGCTTATGTGGCCAGCCTAACGTGGGTGGCTGCTGTGTTTCGGCTCAACAGTCCTTACCCCAGTAGCCCGCAGTGAGGAGCTGTACAAACACTCCGTGCGCCCATACATTGAAAGACTTCGTTAGAGCTATGGCGTGAGGGTGTATGTAGTAATTAACCGTCAGAGCTAGAAAGCTTGGACCTACCTGTGGGAAGGGCAAAATGCTTTATTTGAGACCAAGGGCGGGATTCGCCGTCGTTCAAAGTTAAGTTGCCTTTGAGGGGGAAAATAAACCTGAAACATGCGAGGTTTATGCGCATGCTTCTTTCTTATTTGATTCGACGCAGGTGTGAACCTGCTCTATACGGCAACATGTGAATGAAATTTTTTAGTGTGTTAGCATCTGTCTAGAAGCACCATGCTATTTGACCACTTCAGGTGCCCACTGCCTGCGAATTCCATTCGCTGCATGGCCAGCACCTCCACAAAGGCGCAGCCAGTGTAAAAAACTGACTGGCGGAGTTCCTCTCCGAGCTACCGTAGGCCACTCACCTCTACCCACAGAGGTTTTTTCTAGTTCCTGTCAGTACAATGCAAAGCGGTAGAATTGTGTCTGACCTGAAAACCCTGGGAGCGAATCCCAAGTGCCCAAAATATAGTAAAGTGCACTAACGAGCGGCCATATGGCAGCCCGGCAGTCAGCACCACTTGATATCATCCACTACCTATGTTTTGACAAGTATGGTAGCTCCAAAAATTCAGAAGTTCGTAGTTTTTTTTTAACCAAAAAAAGCACACTGTGTAGTAAGCGTGATCATCGGATACTACGCTGAATGGCATTAGCTGGTTCGCGCCCACGCGCCATGCAACAGAAGCTGCACGTCTTAAACGTTGTGCATTGTCTTTGCAAACAAATTGGCTCGCTCGCCCCTGAAGAGGCAGAAACAGCCCTACAAGGTGTCAGTTGAATGCAGTGGCACCGTGGAGTCAGCCCTGCAAGCGCCGCATTCCCAGCTGAGGCACAACAGTGCCAAGGGCGTGAGAGAAGGCTTCGGCTCTCGCTCCTTCTTGCTGTTGGCCGCTTGTCCTGTATTAATCCTTTAGATCAGAGCCAAATCTATCAACCAGTCTGTCCAGCTTCTGTCCGTACCAGTGTTGGAATCGCCGCCACATTCCAGGGTCTGGGGGTGGCTGAAGGCCCTCTTCTGCATTTTCTATGCCTTCACTAAATCTGTTTTCGTTCTTTGCCTGTATTTCTCTGAAATCTTGAATTTCTCTCTCGTACACATCTATATTGTTGTTGGCTTCTCTTTGTTTCTTTTCCTGGAGCTTCCTCTTCTCCTTTTCTTCTTTTTCCTTTTTGAAAGTTGGCACTTTCTCTACAAACTCAGTTATACTAGGCGTTGAGTCTTCCTCCTGCGGATTCAAAAGCGACGTATCCAGTTCAACTCCTTCCTCATCAGTTGTCACCACCGCCTGCCCGTCGTACAACATAGGGCTTTTGCTCCTAGAGCTTGATTGCGTGCCATCTGCATCGTTTGTTTGATTGCTTTCGCTTGGCTGTGGCTGGTCACCAGCCTTCACCCCTTCTTCCCTCTCCTGAAGGTCTTCCTCGTCCTCAAGAAGATCTAAGTCGTCCTCTGCAGCTCCTGCTACTGTGGGCTCCGCCTCCTTTTCCGCTGCCGTTCCGGTTGCCTCTGGTTCATCTAAGTCAATTAGCACCTGCTCATCGTCTCCCGACTCATCATCATCATCATAAGTGTCCCTTTTTCGTTTCTGCTGGTCTTTGGCGAGGTCACCCGCTGACGGTGCTTCGGATCCATCGTCATCAACGTTGTAGTCCTCTGCATCGAATACCTCATCTTCCTCCACCCTTGAGGCCTCACCCACCTCGGAAACATCTAAAGCAGAGGCCCAAGGGCGAATGAAGGCGTGAGAAACCGCCAGATTGGCTAAAAGCAGGTAGGCGAACTTTCGCATCTTGTCTGTTCGTCAAATAAACGTGCCCGCGGCTGCCGCGACTGAACCAAAGCCGCCGCTCAAACACTGAATTATGTATATACAGCCCTTCAACAGGTTTAACAAATCGAATTAAAATAAGTATAAAGGAAGGGAATTTCCGCAGCCGGCGCCGCGTCGCTCTGGACTCCACTGGAGCAGAAGGCTCGCTAGGTGCCCTGACCACTGTTGCAACAGCCGCCCTAAAGAATGTGACTACCACTAAATACTTCGCAATCAAAGTTAATTAAGCAAACCTGGGAAGATAGTAAGCTGAATTGGCACAACCAGGCTTAGTTCAGAAGCGGCTGCTGGTGGAGCCAGTTCTTGTCGATTCCGCACAGTGGTTGTACTGTTGAGCGAGAGCGAGTCACACCTAGAATGACCCCCGTAAGTGGTTACTATCTATGCATTCCACTGAGATTGCCTTTTTAGTGTATTTAGTCCTACTGAATTTGAATATGCTATTATTTCTCCTCCTCGCTGCCTCACTAGTGGTCAGAATGTGCAAGCCCTGCTAGTACAGAGCCATGCCACCTGCTTTTCCTCCGTTTTGCTCTTTGTACGCATTTCTCGTTCTTTTTACAGTACGTTTTAGCTAATGGTTCGGACAGGAAGCTTATGCTGAGCCCTTATCAATGCTTTAAGTCTCCCGGTCATGATTTACCTGGCGCTCCTCCACACAAACTTCTCCCCACGAACGGTCCCTTACACACCGAGCAATTCATTGCCAGTGAGCACAATACTCTACTATTGGCTCAGATCTAATCGCTTGCTCTTCCTGTCCTAGGCAAAGCTCCACTACACCACATTGCGAAAATGTGTTCGGTAACCGGAGGGAGGGCATGTACTATGTCCGTCCTAAAGCTTCGTACATCTAAAGAAGAAGTGACACCTTATAGGCCTTTCATTTCGACAAGTGTTTCCCAACACTCGCTTTTCTATGATTGCCCCAGTCCTGTCGACCCCCGCTCTTACCTAGCCAGCTGTTTCCGCCCAGGACATATACTTGCGTGTACTGCTCTCTCCCTTTTATAAACAGTCAGCTGAAAGTGCGTAATAGCAGTGCACACTTCAGAGAAATGTCAGCCGTAAAGCTGGACATGTCTAAAGGCCAAACGTATGCCTCCGCCTTCGTAGGCCCAGGCAAAGAAGAATACAAAGTGGTTGCGGCCGAGATCTGCTGCTCCTGTAAAACAAGAAAATACCGAGCTTGAGTGTCCCGCATTCCTTTTCTACAAAAGTTTATGCGTCTGGCTAAGTCGTTTAACACAGAGAATGCCCACAGTGGAAGGCTTCAGTGCACGCTGGGGTTCTAGAGTCCGTGTGTGCTGGTGAAGCAGCTCACAAAAATTTGATCACCATACTACTGTCACCGTCAATTGTAGTGTATAAAAATGATATAAATGCCATCTTCACTGCGAAGCTCAGGACACAGGACTGATGGCCTAGCCTCCTGCCTCGGCCTCGCCTTGCATCTCCAGCCCCAAGAAAATCGAAGTAATAGATTCCATCATCTCGCATCCACAAATCGATCTGAATCCCTTAAGATACGGAGAGATCCCTCGGGGGATGCGGAATAAGGTCCAATGATTAGGCTGCGGGACAAGGTCCAATGATCAGGCGGGAATGAAGCTACGGCAGACTGCTCTAATCATTTTTATGTCGCCGGCGGATGACCCGAAACATACGATGCCATGAGGACGCTTTGCTATGGTTGCTGTAGGGATCATCGAGCTTGGTGCAGCTTTCCTGCTGCTTCTGTAGGTAGGCAATGATGACCACAGAAGCACAACGCAGAAGCAGTGCACAGTGTCTGAGTTGGTACCTGGCCCTCATGCAGCACCAACTTGTTTGCTTTCGTGCTGTCTGCATCTATGTCTGCCTTCGTTTGTGTCTCTCGCTAGATGCGGCAAGGGAAGGAGCACTGTCGGTAAGCATGCCTTACAGACTCCGTCCCTTCTTCCCCGTCGTCGGAAGACGCCCTTACAAGACCCGACATGGTTGTCTTGGTACAGTCCTCAGATCCTTCCTCGTCCCTTTGTGTTATCCATCTATACACATGCATGTGCATCTGGACATAAAGTTTCGAGCTTAGGTACGGCGGCTGGTGTGCATCCAGGCTTCAAAGCGCAGAGCTGTGTTATCGTCAGGCTGCCTTCAGTTGTTTCCTCTTTAACACAACAAATCCTCGCGGTATCATCATGGCAGCACTAATTACGGTCGCAGCAAAAACAGCAGTGTTGTGGTGGCGTGCCTATGCTGGAGTGCCTCTTGCGCTGTGAGGCGTTTCTCCTGGTCGACCTCCAGTAACGCCGATACAAACTCGATTCCCAAACTCGAGGGCATGCTCGGACCAGCAAAGTAGCTGTAGACAAGACGCATGCACAAACCCAAACATAGCCCACCCTGTAGCTTCAGCTTCTGCATAAAACACTAGGCAACTGGACTGCGAGCGCCGACGGCTATGCTTCGTGCGGGGTGCAGAACGCAATGAACGCGTTATGTACAGTTCAGCTGACACACTTGACTTCGTTGTGGAGAATGCTTTTGCACACATGGAGAGAAGAGGGCCCTTGAAAGGGGTACCGCCCGTACAGCATGACGAACACAAGCACTCCCAGCGACCACATGTCCGCAGGGAAGGAATAGGAACGCCGGAGCATTTCGGGTGACAAGTAGTGGGGGGAGCCACATATCTGCATTAAGTGCAGGAATCCATACTCTAACACTGTATCTGAGCCTCGCGGCCTACAGGATGTTGCAAAAGGTGGCGTGCAGGTGGAGTGCACTCATAAAACATGAGTGTCGAAGTTCAACGCGCGTTTTAATCAACACTTGAGGCATTTGACTACAATGCGGCAAAAATGCAAGCCCCTTTTGCTCTCTCCACATTCATGCTCTGTAGAAGGAGCAGCTGAATGTTAATATCTGTATATGCAAGTGCCAAATGTGCGTGGTTCTTCGAAGCGCAGTCTGCCACGAAAGGCTCAAAGCTCCCTTAGCTGGCTGTGCGCCATGTCAGGTAGTGTTGTTATTTTCAATTCCCTACCTTTCGTAAAGGCGCAGAGGGATTAACTATGGCCGATATGCCGAAGTCAAGAAGAATGAGGCGCGCACTTTTGTCTTTGGTCTCAAACATGAAGTTTTCTGCCTTAATATCTCTGTGCATTATGTTCCGGGAATGTAGGTAAGCCAGCGCATCGAGCATTTGCCTGCAGGTCCACAAAGACGACAAGCTACTGTTACCAACTACTGTTACCAGTAGTGGCAGCCCGCAAGCGTATGGTGTGCAGTGCAGGGAAACGCGCGTATCGATCAACGACAATATCACTTCCAGCACAACGCCATTAACAGCATGCCATCGTAAACGATTCATTGCCCCACACCTGCAAAGAGAAGCGGCTGAAGCCTCATCAAGAAACTTCCTTTCGTAAATATGCTTGCCCAGTCCATTTCCCTCGCATTTCTCAAGTACGCAGTAAAAGTTTTGGTTGTCCTCATAATAGTCATGCAACTTGACTATATTTCGGTGGTCCGCTGCGGAGAGAATGGCTACCTGAAATGGTTGCAGGCCACAGCACAACACTCCGCACACTCTTAGGTGGTCAATACACTCATATGTACATGAAGAAAGAAATCCAGCATACTATTGCCCACCTATATGCAAACAGCTACATAGTTTTAGAGCATTATGTTTCCTTCTAGGCTGTAAGATTCAAAAGCGAACGGCTTGCTGAGACGTCGAAATCATCTCTCGCTATCCACTGACCTCGCTCATGAACCGCAACCGGCTAACAGCCTCTTTCCGAGTGCCTCTGCGTTGATGTAATATCTTTACCGCATAGTGTCGACCTGAGGAAGTGTCTACGCAGTCGTTAACCTGGGAAGAAGAACGAAACGCACCAAACGAGCGTAAAACATACCGACGTGCTACGCGCTCGGCGCGTCTATAGCAGCTCCATGAGCAATAGCGTCAGACCCCGCAGCTGCTGCAACAAGAGCAGCTTCTGGACATGTGCCTACTTTGCCGAAGGACCCGACGCCGATGGGCTTGCCTATGACAAACCTCTTTGACTTCGCCATGTTTGAGTCAACAGGGGAAAAACAGCTCAATAGTGAGCGAAGACGAACGCGCTTCTTTGCCGACGGGTGGGTTGCCCTCACTGAGGGGTCTTCGTTGGATGTAACGAGACCCATGCTTTCTGCGGCCTTTTCCAGCAGCGACTATCGTTAGGACACAAAGGCGTCCAAGACCACAAGGTACACACCTTCTTGTAATTGGTAGTTTATGATGCTGTTAGAGAAACAGCAAAAAAGAACCATTTGTTAGCGAAAATGCAGCACCAACACTCCTCATAACTTGTGCTGTGCCAAAGACAGAGGTTTAGGTTCTGTCCAGTAAGGTTAGAAGCGCCCATAAACGAGAAGGAAAAACAGCTTTCTGTTTGGGCACACACTACCTTTCCAAGACTCGAGCCCACTTTGCACTCTCAGTCTAAATCCCATCGTTAAGGAACAGCAGACGTGAAAAAGAGTTCCGGTGGGCTCCGTTCAGACGCTGCAGTATATGCTACAGTATCCGTCGCCGGTGACCTTGTAGAAACTGCTTCATTCACAAAATAACTGCGCATTGCATACAGCACTCATGCTAAGTCCGACAGATTTGTGAGGCAAAGAATATACCGACCAACTGTAGGAGTAGAGATCCAATGTGGAGACTCTCCAAAGGCAACTGCCGATTTGGTTTCCACAGGACCACATGCGCCCACACCGATTGATTCCCCCAAGCAGTCGAGAACAAAAAGCGAAGCACGGTCCTCAGCTCGAGCAAATGATCCTCGCTAATTACGAATATAGATTCCCGTTCCTTGAATATACCGTTATCTTGGGAAAGAAACCAGTTCTGGCGATGCGCATTGCAGACGAGAGACTAGGGCTCGCTGCCCACACACGCCCAATTATTGCACTAAACGCGCTTACACCTTGACGCCATGGGGCAAAACGATGGTCCAATTCGTGCCTACACTTCGGGATCTTGAAACAAGTTCAAACATCCACTTTAATATTTGACTTGCATGCACTCCAAGTACCGCTCAGCTGCCGTCATTGGAACAGTGGTCACTGGTGCTTCACGCTGCATGGCAAGCGGGGTCACCCCATGCATGAGGGGACTTAAACAATCAACAAATCAGTTTTATTTTTAAAAACCCAATGTCTCTCCTGCTGCAGCGTCTAATTAGAGTGAAGTAGCGCGCATAACACACGAAATAGCAACCGCTTGTGGCTCGATCACTAGCCCTCATTCGCCGGCACACGATCACACGTCTCGCAGCATCTGTGTAAACGCTAACATCACAGGAAAGCGTTGCATTTGTCCAAGGACAAGAACAGTTCCATCACCTCGTGGTAGTGAATCACAGGCAGCGTGAGAACTTGGACCGCTCCCCTCCAGGGCCACTCTCAGCAGCGCGTTGCTACAGATTCTCCATTCATCTGGGATATCGTTCTGTAGCCCGAAGGGTTTTACAGCAAACTCGCCCTCTAGCCAAAAGGGCGGGATTCTACTCATTCTACTCATCTTCTAATTACGTGCTTGCACAACACACCGCTCACCCACGAGGCAGATTTACTGCCAGTGGGCAAAGACAGCGCGGTTTGACGCTGAAGAAGTGGATTTTAGTGCATTCGCTTACGCGTCCTAATCGGCAGGGCAACAGTTATCTGAAACCTACGCAAGAAGGCGGCATGAAACAACATGCGCCTGGTGGAGCAACTGCCAGCATAGTGGAGGACCTAACTCGTTTCCGTTCTGGCCTCTTGTAGGTTCTGACAAACTGCGAGATTCTCTACATGACCTTTCCCTGGATGTTTCTCCAGGTAGTCGCTGCATGCCCAGAAGCCACTTGTTTAGAGGCGAGAAGCGGCAGTTATTAACTCAATTCTGTTTCGCACAAAGAACTTCGGTCTATCAATGACTGCCCCTGACTTCGGTTTCAGCTGAAAGAAGCTTGTTATCCGGCTTTGCTTTGCGGATGGAGTTTCGCCCTCCTGCCCTTCTTCATCCTCAACTTCTTCATACCTAAAAATCAAGAAAAGAATAAAGCGGTGGGTCACTGGACTATAATACGACGGCTTTCAAGCGGCTTGACGTAACGCATTACAAACTATTTGTGCAACTGCATGTGTTTAATGAGCCGTAACGCAAATCTCCAGCAAAACATAGAGTGCTGCTTGTCAGGTTCATCATTTCCTTGAGTGCTTCTGTCATGAGCGTCACTTGCTGCACAGTACTCCCTGAGCTGAAACCAAGATGTGATATTTCCTGGGTATTCTGTTCGGGACAGATAGGCCCTTGTGTAGCGGACACTTCGGTTTTGTGCTGTTGGCGAAGCTGTTTGTTCTTTGATCCCTCATTCGTTTATTACTCGCACTCGTCTGTCGTACACCTGTTTACTTCACTTGTGCACATCCTTGTCTGCCTCATCCCTGTTTGGCTCTTGATTATGTGATCCTCACCAAACTGTTGGCATCCCCTCCTTCTCAAACAGTTCTTTCGCTGTTTGCCAACTCCATCGGACTAACTCAGGGAAGCCGAAGACAGGGTCCATGTACTCCTTGAGAAATGTGATTGTCACCCGGTCTGCGAGACCAGCAGAAACAGAAGCTACTCAGTGCTCATGATATATTTTACACTTAGTACCTGGAAGAAATGGAAGAGAAAAACTGGATCCGCAGTTAAGTACAGCTGTGCACCCCCAGGGTAGCCGGTTCCGTAGACAGTCTCTTTGGCCACTTCTGGCTCGTCCTCAGATGCCTCAACCGGTGAGTTTTCAGCAACGGCAGCTGCATTCTCGCGCTTAGGCCGCTTGCTTTGCTGCAGTCGCTGCTCCTGCTGCAAGTTCTGCAGCTGCTGTAGCTGCAGTTGCTTGAGGCGTTTGTTGGGCCGCACTGGGGAAGGCCACAAACGAAGGGCTCTGTCGCGGGTGACCTTCGCAAGAATTGAAGCAGCACTGACAACAGGAAAAAGCGAGTCCGCCTTCTCCCTCACCTGTCCACAGGCCGCAGCAGGCAGCAGCCCTTTGACACTGTTACTGTGCTCCGCTTTCATGTGCTGGATATCTGGACCAACTTACAAAACAACCCACACGCTACAGGCTTCGCTAGGTGCCATTGTGCTGGGGCAAGGTGATACGATGATAGCCGTGACTTGCTGTTAAAACACGTGATGAAGATACAATGCTGAAGTGAATGCGAAGAGAGAAAGGCGCGACAGAACGCACTGTAATCTTCACTGAGGGGAACATGCGCTGCAGCTTCTTTTCGTATAGGTCTGCCTTGCCCACAGTGTCCACGAACACCTGAAGCCTCAAACACACCGCCCTGGCATGAGACAATGAAGACATAGTTTTGGGCCCCTTCAGCATCAAGATGCGCTTGTGAAACAAATTTCTGCTCCCTGTCCCTCGAAGTTAAACATGCATACGATTATACTAGTGTATTCTGATACTGGAGGTGTTCCACGTCGAAAGATCTCTGATACTGTGGCCCTCTCTACAGCTTTTGGCCAGGTGTGTACGCTTGCTTTCCTGTATTCGTATGACTAACAAAATTGGGCATCCTAGATAAAGTTAGCTCTGCGCTTATATAGGTTGCAGATCAATAGCAGAGGATGCCGGGTGTCTTTCTACCTGTGTAACCCGCACGCCCTCCTTGCACACCGCCGCGATGAGGTCCGCCGCAGCGTCATGTGAAATGTCATTCAGGCTCACTTTTCGCCTGAAGATAAAATAAAGCTTGGACCCTAAACTGAAAGCATTTTAAGCTGAATTCCAGCTGGTACCCGTTTCCCCCTATAAAATGCGTATGTGTGAGTGGCCGACTTGCGTAGCATTTTCGCGCTGATCTCCTGAGGAGAGATTGAGTGAATTCTCCACCTGCGCATTTCAGAAATGTAAACTAGACTAAGCGGAGATACATTGGGCGAACAGCACACAAGGGCCTTCCGATTTCCAATTCTAGATGTGTGCTGCAATGTCTTGGCTCCGCGTAGTCGCGCTGCCGACTATGTTCGTTTTAAGATGCCACGTCCTCATATCCGCTCATGTTTTTCGTTTTGGAAAAAGGAACCAGCAAGTACAGCTACGCTATTGGGGCAAAACGCAAGTGAGGGGGATAATAATTTAGCCACAGGTACCCGAAGGCATCCTTTTGCTTCATAAAAGCCTCAAACGCCGCCTCCCGCTGTTCCTCCGTCAGCTTCTTTGAATCTACACGCAAAACCAAAAGCACATGAGCTAAATGCTGATGTTTCACAAAATAGGAACGGCGCCTGTGCCCCGAAAGGACACGTGCAGCCAGAAGCAGCAGCTGCACGCAAACAATCTCGCCAATACCATGCATTTAGCGTGTGCTGTAGCTACCTTAAGGCGCCCAGAGACCGAACGACCACCCATAACACTTTTAAACAGCACCAACAACGGAAGAGTAGCTACAGCAGGGCTAGTCTCACCGTCAACCTTCATGGCTTTGAGATTTTCTAGTTCGTCTGGCGGACAGTAAAAGCACGCGTACACCATCGCCCCCAGAACGCAACCTCTTCCAGCCTCGTCTATGCCTAAGGAATATATGGAGAAGAAGTGACGGTGAGCCAAAGTCAACGTTGATAAATAAACAGGTGCAGAGGTACATAAATGAATGACTAATTTTGGTACGACGACGGGGAATGCTGCCACGAGAGTGACAGGCGCGGGGATTATAACACCATGAGCAGGCATATCAGGCTTGAGATGAAATAAAAGAACAGACGGCTCCTACCGAGGAAGACCTCCTTGCCTCCACAGGCAGTAAAGTTCGACTCATAATTCCCCTCAAACATATTCGGGCTCAGTTCTCACGTCAGATAGGCAGCAAAAGGGTCGCAGTGGTCTGAATAATATCCATCAAATGCCTACACACGTATGCGCAGACACGTAAACACACAGAGCATCGTATGCAGCGCAACCGGGCCCCACACTTCACAGACCTCAAAAAGTCCCCCTGTAGGAAACACCTGACAGATACCCGACACCCATGCCAGTATGAGGCCTGCCTGCCTGGTGAGTCCTGCAGGGTCTAAACCTGCCTGGGAGATACAGGGATAGGAAGTGGTCAGTGGCTTTCGCTGTTACTAGTGCTGCCTGGGCAAAGAAGGTGGCGATAGAGTTAGGAGAAAAGACAGCAAGGGGCCAAACAATGATGCGACGCCGCTCATGAAGTTTGATTATGGAAAAAAAGCAAGTAAATGGTAAATCGATGACCCGGAGACAAACGTGAAAAACAACAACCCCACCAAACAGTCTCTAGGGCCGCCATTCGTCGTAGCTCTACTTAGGACCGTCGGCCGCTTAGACTTCGGCGACTGCATTTCCATAAGCTTCCAGTTTAAGAGTCCTAATTCATATTTTGAAGACAGTTGAATATGGTTTTTTTCATTTCCTCGACAAGAGGGCACATATGGCAGCATTGGGCTCTCTGGCGAGACTAGAGCATTTGTATCCAGTCGTGTCTTCAGTGCTCTTGTTATCTTCCCCCACCTTCCTTGTTTTGAACAAGACAAAGAGAAAGTGACAGCAGCCCAGAGGCCGCAGGGCCGATTTTATCTGTTCCGAGCTTCCTCCCTTTCCGTGAGGCCTCAATGTCCCGTATGTCTGCGGCGAGTTTTGGGCAGGTTCTGCCTTCGGTCTTCGGAATTGACTCACACTGAGTCCATCAATATGGTAACCGCGGCAATTAAGCGTAGTATGCCTCCTCATCAAACCAGACTCCACGCTCCCCTATGCCCGACAAGGAGCCGCAGAGTGCTGCTTTGCGGTAGTGATGCTTTTGTTAATATTGAACTCAAGAGGGCCACACTGCTGCTGGCCCTCCCGGGAACTCCCTACGCAGCCATCCGCACCATAGCGAGAGGCTCGCGCTTGTTAGGGGTGGAGTCCAATCTCCTTAGGCTGCTGAGGTCTGCTGCTGCGTCCTCAACGACAACTTCCCCTCTTTTCAGGCAAGACCCTCACAAAGGCGACCCAGATACTGGCACTCCCAGCAAGACGTCAAACAACGCGTCAAACAAAGATACCGCCGGCCCGTCCGCCGAGGATCTCACCCGCTTTAGGGCTAGAGCCTGGAAGGACCTGAGGAATCTGCTACGCTTGAGCCACTTCTATGCCTTTTCACCGGCCGAGTCAGAAGTAAAAGCACAGACTGAAACAGCAGCAGGAGATGCGCCTCTGCTGCCTGAGGGAGTAGAATTGGCGGTGACGATGATGCTAACCTCCCGCACGCTTCCAGAAATACTGGCGGCTTTGGGTCTGCCACAGCGTTCGCCAGAGGCATCTGAGGCCTCTTCAGCAGCAGAAGAAACGCCTTGCTACGAGCCTAGTTCTGCGACAGAAAAGAATGGCAGCCTTTCCTCCCTCAACCTCTTGATGCTCGCTGAGCCTCTTCTGCCTTCACCAGCCATTTGCAGCAGCCCACCAGCGACACCACCGGCGCAGGAGGGATCGCACGACCAGCAGCTGCAGCGGCAAGCACTTGACCAAAACTTAAGTGGCGTACCAGAGTCACAACTTCAAGGATCCTCTAGCAACTGTGCTGGCAACGCCAGAGCCGCCACCACTTCCACTGCAAGTATCCGGTGGTGCAACGTCTTGCTGCTCCCCCACCACGGCCGTGCCAAGCCCAGTGTGAAATCGACGGACTGGGCGTTGGAACGGCAAAGCTTGTTGAGAGAGGCTCAGCTAGCGTCGGCAGAGATTGGTAGGCCCATTGAGGAGGTTATCCTTGAGAACGAAGGGTCTCTCCTTGAAGGTACGAACACTTTGGATGGTACACTCAGCGCTTGAGCCACACGCCGCTGCGGGTGTTCCTGGTGCTGCGGCTGCTGTGCGGTGGTGTTGCTGCTCTTGCAGGTGCTGTTACCGCGTGCTTTCCTTTTGAGCAGAGCCTCTCCCGCAGCAGTTACTATTGTTCATGTAGCTTCTGTGGCGTTTGTTTTTGGTGTCTCCAGGGTGTAGCAGTAATCTTCTGGTGTACTCGACAGCTCGAGGCTGTGTGCTGACAGCTCCAGACTCTCTTTGCCTCCCAGGATCTACAAGAGGCTTGGTTATTAGGGCACTAGCAGCTGAAGGGATAGACACCGTGTACGAGACACCCAAATGGGAGCGAAGGGAAACAGAGCGCTGGGAGGCAGCCTGGATTTCCTCCGCCAGCAGACTTTTGCTGCCTGTTCGGTCCATGTTAAGGCCATGGCAGCAGCAGCAGCACGGGAAACAGCAGCAGCACGAGCAACAGCAGCAGCACGAGCAACAGCAAAAGCACGAGCAACAGCAAAAGCAGCACGAACAGCAGCAGCACCGGCCGCAGGCCGCCTGGATAGTCCAACGGTCTCCCTCGAGTATGAACACCCGCGTATTCTGGCTGCAAATGCTCGACTCAACACCCCAGGATGATCCCATAGGACACAAGCAAAAGCAGCAGCAGCTAGAGCAGCAACAGCTAGAGCAGCAGCCCCAGCATAGCCTTCACGTGCCGTGTAGCGAGCAGCCGTTGGGAAGGGGCGCTGTTGCAGAGTTCGAAGAGACCCTTTTTGATGTCGGTCCTCAGTCCCTTGCAGCTCGGGCCGCAGAGTGGACGAAGAAGCTAGCGGAAGCAGAGGCAGAACCTGTCTTCCCCTGACAGTAGCCTGTTGGCTACGGTATTGCTGCTGCGAAGGCGCAGCAGAACCAGCAGCTTTGCAGTAGTGCACTTCTGCGTCAACATGACGCCGCTACGTGTTATGTTGAAAGGAAAAGGCGCTGTGGGGAAGATAGTTGGGGTCTGGCAAGCCAGCAGGACAAAAACTGCTGCAGGAGGAGCATCAGCAGGAGCTGCTGCTTCCACTGCTCCTGTATAGCGAAATGGCAACATTTGGTCTGTCTGCATCGCCTCATACTGCGTGGCTCATTGTACGCAACTTCTATGTGCAAATAAATTCAATTCGAGCAGGCGACGTGCTGCCGCTTTCGAAGGTATTGACCTTAGCATCTACCGAGTGGCACACATAAAGGTACGCGGCCAAGCTTTCCAAGATAGTTTTCTTCCAGTACTTTGCCAGTGATGTGCAATGCACTTTCCCTAGTCAGGCAACAAGTGTTTTGTACGTATGCCTATACTATTGGCTGGATTGCGGGGTCACAAGCTGCTGTAACAGATTCACGAGTGATTAACGAGGTCCTCTCTTTCCTTCTTTCTGCTTAAACTGCATTATATTTCACGCCTTAGATAGTAAAGGAACCCAAATTAGAACGCTTGAGCATGCATATTAATTAAAGCCCCCTTCATGCGTCTCTTCTCGACACTCAGCATCTGTAGTACTCAAGGGGCCAGCGATTAAGCAGCAGCCGTAGTGCGAACACGGCAAAACTGAGGCTCACGGCTGACTGAGCCTCACATCGTCCCCAGCGGTAACCGTAGCAGCAGCGGGGATTCATGCTGACCGCGCCACCTCTGTTGGCCTAGAAATGTCCACGAAACAAAATCTAGCATGGAGCTCTGTGCATTTGGTAATCCTCCACGTTGTGCAGTTCTGCTGCTGCCGTGACCATTGAGAGTACTGGCAGGCTTGAGAATGCTCCAGTTCAGTGCATTTCATATTATTCTTATCAACTGTAGCGCTAAGAGTCGTTCTAAACAGTCCCTGGACACATATATCATTGAGTAAAAGTCTGCGTGAATGCTAGACATTAAGTTCAAGCCACGAGTACATAAAGCCCTTTGTTAGGGCCTACAAACAGATAGTCTATCTATTCAGCAACTCTGGTGTTCAGGGCAACCGAGTACGCACTTTGGTGCAAGCCTGATTGTGCTGCGTCGAGACCTGCCACCGTTAGGCCGCAGAGGCACTGCTTCCCTGGTCCAATAAGTGCTCTGGCAAGTACGAGTTCTGTAGATACATAACTAGATCCAGAGAGATAGGGGTAGTGCCCCGAGTGATAGAAGTCTTCATCGAACCCTGTGGCCCCGCCGGCAGAAGGCGATGTACTGCACTTTTGCTCAAACTTTATTCATTACGCTCTCAAGGAAGTAATGTATGCACCTTTTCATATTTATAAGCTTGACATTCTTGGTAGCCCACGGCTGGTGCATTTACATGTGCTGTCTGCTCCCAACAGAGGGTGGTAGCCAGGTGGGGTTGCATGCGTTTAGGTATTAACCCGGTCGACTAATAATCTTTCGAAGCACTTGAAGAAAGAACAACAAAGTAAATTCTTTTGCTTAGTCAGGTACTTTCCTGCGCCAAGCTACTCTTTGCATCTACTCAGCGTCCCCAGCCAGTACCCCAACAGTTTCTGTGCTGTGAGTCAGCGCTGGACTGCTCAAGACAGGTAGAGTTTTCTCCGTTTTGAGTCCAGAAGGATCCGAGTTGCCCTGAGAAATTGACACGCTGCATGCATTTCCGAATCCAGCCGACCTTCTTTGATGTGGGCAACTGGTGGCGTTGCCCGCGAGCTCCAGCTCGGCCTTACGCCGACTCCGCCTCAGTCTAAAGAAGCTAAGGGAAAGCCATGGGACTTGGGAGCCTCCGGGCACTGTGGGGTCGCCGGCGACGTCGGGATTCTCAGCGAGCGCCAGAGCTCTCGTTCCCTTTCTCCTGAAGCAGTGGAGGCGCTCCATGTGCTGGATGGAGCCTCCGTGTGGGCGGAGTCTCGTGAGGGCTGGGCTCCAACGCCTTCTGAAGAGGCTGAGAAGTACCTAGGAGCGCTCACCACACTGGCTGATGTGTGCGCCTCCAGTGCGGCGAGAGATACGATCATCATCTGGGAGGGCAGCAGCAAGGGTTCGTCACAGAAAGAAGTGCACCCCAGAGGGACCCCAGTGCTGCGCCATCTCTGCCGCGTTCTGTGCTGCTTATGCAGCGTTTGCCTATCAGAAAATGGCATTGAATATGGGGGCCCCACGTCTCCTCGAGGGCTCGGTTTGCCAGGAGCCTCTCAGAGTGAGGAAGCCGATGTGCCCTCTGCAGAGGATTGGCTGAGCCGGGGAGTCACCTTGCTGGGGGCCCTCAGTGGTTGCGGCCTGGCAGGTGTCGCTCTGCGGCGCGTGATCACGACTCTGTACTGTATCACTAGCTGCCTCTGTCGGTCCCTCGTTGCCACTCCAGACGCTGCTGCGCTGCTGCAATCAGCTGAAGGGGACCATGCATTTTCTTTTCTCGCTGCGCTTTCCGTAGCGGCAGCAGAAGCAGAGACCCGGAATATGCCTTCCTCAGCAGCAGCTGCGCCAGCTGCAACACCAGGTGCGGGCGCTGCCGCTGCTGCAGAGCCTCCTTACTCCACGATACCCAGTAGCAGCAGCAGCGATAGTGTGCTGCTTTTGGCTTTGCTGGGTGCCTATGAGGGCCTCCTTGCTCTCCCTGGCATAGCCTCAGCAGCGCGCGGGGGCCCCTTGAGGGGTCTCCACAAGGCAGTGCAGCGGGGGGCCGCACGCCTGCTTGGGAAGGCGGCGAGCCTGCGGGATTCTGCGGTGGCTGTCGTGGCGTGGCTAGTGTATCGACGCCTCTCCAGCAGTGGCGGCAGCAGCGGCAGCAATGACGGGTCATTTAGCCCTACAAACGTTCGCCATCTCCTTGCATTGCTTATTGCTTCTGTACGCAATCACCTCCGGAGGCCTCTGGAGCAGCGGCTCTGCGCCCTCTGTCTGAGAGAGGCTCTCAAAGAACCGCGTATGCAGCAAGCAGTTGGCAGCAGCACGCACGATGCTGCCCTGGCTTTTGTGGCGGTCTGTTTACAATCCTTGCAGACAGTAGTTGCTGCTGCTGCTGCTGCCGCACAGCAAAAAGCAACATCTGAGACATCATGCGACACTGTTACGCCTGGCCAAGAAGGAGATGGAGAAAAAAACAGTTTTTCTGTTAGGGAACAATTGCAATGCGCCTCCCCAATAGCGGAGATGCTGGCACTGCTGTGTCTCTTCAGCCCATTTGTGAGGGCCTCTGTTGCCGTCAGGCTGGACACTCTACCACCAGCACAACAGGCATCTCCTGATGGTGCCGGTTTTGGAAGCAGCAATGATGGTACTCCAAGGGAACAGCGAAACCAGCACTTGCAGCAGCAAAACCAGCAGAGACAGCCATCACAGACCTCTCCTGGGAGAGGTCGCAGCAGCGCTGCCCTTTCGGCTGTGAGTCTTCCGTCGCTTTTTTACATAGCAGCAAACGGAGATGACTTGGGTTGTTTGTACATATCAGCCTTTCTCGAGTTGTGCATCAGCTGCCAAGACGCGCGAGGCATAGGGAGGTACATGTCTCACCAGCAAAGAGAAGAAGTTGTTGCCAGCTTGGCAGCAAACGCAGGCTTGCTGTGTAAGCATTTGTTCGTGCACGAAAAGCAGCAATCATTGAAGTTGTAGATATACGGCGTAGCTTGCAATGCTTTTGCCCGTTTGCAGTTCTTCTTTGCCTGAGGGTTTTCCGCATTAGAAGCAGCCATATTGTGATTCGCTCCTTCATGTCCCATATTTGCGTGTTTATTCCTCCCACTGCTGCAGTGCGCGGCGGTGAAAACAAGTCCCTGGGATTGCGACGCGCAACGTGCCTGAGCCTCATTGCCGCCCTATGGGATGGCACAGAGGCCCTCGGATCTATCGTGGAAACACTCTGTATCCATCCTCTTTCTGTAGCAGGTATACCACTGAACAAACTGCACCGAAGGGCAGCAGCAGCTGCAGCCACGACAGGTCTGTTGACGATATAGCGTGTACGCCCATGGTGCTGCTGCTGGAAATGCTACTGCAGGGGAGGAAGCAGCACAGCAAGGGGACATGGGGTTGCTGCTGCGGGCGCTGCATGCATCGCTTGATCTGAGCGCTTGCACAAAGAGACACATGCCGCGTTCCCTACGGCTGCTGCAGCGGGCGGCTGCAGCGCTGGCTGCTGGGCCACTTAGTTCACCACAGACGGCATCGGAAGCAGAAGAGGCACTCTTGGTTGTATACAAGTGCTGCGCACTGGTATTGTCACTGTTTCTTGTGGTCTTCGCTGCTTTTTCTTATGCTGCGGCTGTAGCCACACCCGCTGGTGCAGGTTTCAGTGCTGCTGCCTGTGCTACAGCCGTTAACGGCGCCTGGTAGCAACATCCTTTATGAGATCTTTCCTAGCCTGCGAAATTTGTTGCGCTCAGTCGATCCCTGTCTGCTGGAGGGCGTTACCACCCATAAACTGCATTTGTTCTAGCGACAAAAATGGCGCAGCAACAGGAGATGGAGCTGCTGCATGCGGAACCAGTACACATTCAGATTTATGGACAGCAGGAAGCTGCCCCTTCATGGCGCGGCTGGAAGGCCTGAGCAAATTCGGTGAGCTTCATGTGCTGCGGGGCAAATTGTGTTTCTCCCCAGCTCTCATTTCTGTCAACAAGGGGCTTCTTACTCCTGGTGCGTGCCACAAATGACGGCTGTTGCCATTGCTATGGGCGAAGTGAGCTGATGCCGCTGCTGCTGCAGGTTGTGCCTCTGAAGACAGATCCTGGCAGCTTAGCGGCAGGCCAGTGGCTGCTGCTCTTGTGGAGGAAGCTCGCAGCCGCCTGGTGGAACTGAAGGAGCTACGACAGACCAGGGCGGAGGCGAAGAACAGCGTACGGCAGTTTAAGTTGCTGCTGCTGCACTTGCCGCTGCATATACTCTTGTATTTGTGAGCGCACTAGTGAACTGAGTTGCCTTTGATGAGCGTGCTTTGCTGTTTGCTGCTGCAGGCCGCGCAGGCGGCGCAGCGCCTTGCCGTGACCAATGAAGCTCATGAGGTCAAAATTGCAGCACTCTATTACGCACCGTGCTCAGTTTGCCTCGTCACTACTTGCAAAGACTCCAACCGGTCCACGCTGGGAATGCTGTTTCTGCCAACTTCTGAGCTATGTTGCATATGACTTGGGCTTGACAGCTCGGGGTTTAGGAGTAGGGTACGTGGCCTGGAATGCTGTGGGATGCAGATGGAGGTGAATCGAATAAGGGAGGCAGCAGACAGGCAAGAGCGTCTCCATTCCGCCAAAGAACAGCGCCTGACTGAAGAGGCCCGAAAGTCCGTTCAGGGGGACTTCTACTAACCACTTACAGCTGAGCCCACAGTAGCACTACTGGACTATGCAGCAGAGCTGCATGGGTCTCCCACTGATTCGTGACTGCGTAAAAATAATGGTCAAGAGTCCCGGTTTCTTGCACACTCAATTTACAGTGAAACGCTGTTCCTGCTGTTGTGCATGGTCCGGTCCACGGTGGAGATGCTGTTTCTGTCAACTCTTTAGCTATGTTGATGGCTTGATAAAGTGAACATTCCAGGTATTTGCTGCTGCTGCTCGTGCCTTATGTGTTGCTTGTATTGGTGGGCTGCAGACTGCGGCGTGAACTGGAGACCGAACAACAAAGAGGTAGAGAACTTGTCGCTGAGTTTCAAAGACTTCTAGATGCAAAAGAAGAGGCTATAGCCACGTGAGTCGCTGCCGCTTTTAGTACTGCTTCTGTGCTGCTGCTCTTGCTGGTGCTGCAAACCAGTTGCAGCTGCTCCTCCCACTGCTGCAAGCGCTACTTTTGCTGTTGCCGCTGCTGTGTTGTCTACCGCTGTGCACTTGGGGGATCGTCGATGCATTCCACGATGTGCACACACGGAACGAGAAGGTTTGGGTTTGACAAGAGCAGTAGCTCTACGTATGGCGCATTACAGGGGGTCTGGGAGAGGGTCCCAGTTGCCAGCACGTCACAAGTGAGTCTATATGTGTTGCTTAAGGCAGTGTGTCCGTGGCTTCCGCAGTCTCCAGTCCAACCTGGGAGAGGGAAGGACCCCGCATGTACCGGACATTTCAGAGATCTCGCGCGACTTGCAAATACAGACGGCGATTAACGTCAAGCAGGTACAGTTGCTGCTGCTTTTGCTACCTTTGGTGCTGCAGCTAAACTTCCTGAAAGGGTGAAATGCGAACAATCTTGTGACTGCAGCATATTTGGCCGGCGGACGCTTTTTGGGCTTAGCAGTGTGCCCCGTTCAAGTTACTCGACTTAGAGCGACGTCTGTTTTGCATATAAATACTTTCATATCAAAGACGTGCACTTATATAGGATATTTGTACCAATACGAATATGTATTTCTCAGAAGGAAGAGATATCCAAGCAAGAGGCGAAGCTAAGATCGCTTTTAGAAAAGCAGCAACATACAACAAACACCCTCACTGCGCTAACTGAAAAACACAGGCAGCTGCAGGTGAACTTCGCGGCTGCACACAGGTGCAGGTCTACTTGCTTTGTTCCTGAGCAGGGTCGAATCAAGCCTGCCGGCGCACATGGCATGGCTTCTAAACACGCACGAAGGCACTTGTACACATATAAACAGTTATTTATTTAGCTCACGTGTGCTTGTTTCTACGCTTCTACATGTATATGTGCATATCGGCGTGTGTATTTGCCTGTACATATATTCTAAATACATGCAAATAGATGAATGTGCAAACGTATGTTTACACGCCTTTGGGTACATCCGTCGGTTTTTGTATATTTGCTCCAACGTATCTGTCACTTTGGGGGTTCTGTTGTCTGTCTTGGCGGCTGGAACTTATAAGCTGGCACTAGGATCTTCTTGTTGATTAACAACGTTAGTGTATAATTAATAAACGTGCTCCTTCTCTTGATCGCTGTTTTGTTTTTATTGTTTTTATTTAGCTGTGGTGATCTCTCGCCTCGATCTGTTAAAGTAAACGACAGCGCAAGTGCTTGTCTACCTTTGCCACAGGAAGAAAAAAACAAACTGCAAATCAACTACGAGAAGGTTCAGGATGAAAACGAGCAACAATTCAGGTTAGACGAACTGCGGTCCGGCCTGAGTTTGTACTGCCACTCCATCAGTGCCAAGCCGGAGCTTCTGGTGCTGCTTGGGTACTGGCGTAGTTGTGTTGCGAATGTTGTGCTTGCTGCTTCTGGGATAGCAGCAGCTGCATCTGAGGCTTTGTCATGATTTGGGTTCTGCCTTCTTGCTGCGTTTGTGAAATTCATGGTTTTTTTGGTTAGTAGGAGTGATAACAGCACTCGTGCAGCGGAACCACAAGCGGATAAGTCGATCCACTGCGCTTGCTTTACTGTCTCAGACAGCTCATTTTGGTGATGAAGGCTCTAGCTGAACAGCAGGCAGAGAACGGAGTTTTGAAGGAGGCGCGCATGCATGCTGCGGCAAACAGTGAACAGCAAGCAAGGCAGAAGTTGCAGCAGCTGGAGCAACAGCTGCAGCAGATGGCAAGGGAACAGGAGGTGGGCGACCTGCCTGCACCCGCGAGTCGATTTCTACATGCTTAAGCACGGGTTTGCCTGTGACCAATTTGGATTATCTTGCTTTACTTCTTTCCGCGCGTAGGTACGCTGCATGCATGCACGTTTACATTTACATCTGCATGCCTCTGCATTTGTGTCTGCATGCATCAAGAGACTGAGGTGCATTGGTCAATTCGTTGCTGCCGCAGAGCCAAGCGAGAGCAGCATCACTGCGCCAAGTCTCTCTTGAGGAGCAGCTGAGAGCCTTTCAAAAGGAAAATGAAGCACTCAAGGCTCGCAATCGGTGTTGTGAAAGGTGATCCCACGCACTTCATTGCACCCGGCCCCCATGACGCAGCACGCAAATACAAATGCATGCATATGCGTTCTAGCACACAAGCATCACACAGCGCGAGCCCTATAGTGAAGTGTTACGAATGCTTGGTCTTGTGGGACTATGTGTTTTGAGATACGCAGCACCATTGAAGACTTAGAAAAGAGACTGCAAACCGCAGTGGAAACTGCAGCAGGGGCCAGAGCAGCAGCAGCTGCCAAGTCTGAAATGCTGAACCGCATGCAACAGGTACAGTAGGGTCCGCTCTCTCGAGGTCTCGCACCTTAACGGGTCCCTGACAATCCCAGCATGCTCTGAGTCCACTGTGTCGCTACCATGACCAGTACGTCGTTGGACTCGGACAGCCACCGCTGCTGCTGCTGTGCAGGAACTGAAAGAGAAGGAGAATCGACTAGCAGTTATCAGCGCCGCCCTGCGGGGGCCCTAAGTGGCCCTTGTCGCGGACAAACGTGCAAGCAGCCCCTTGGGGATTAGTTTTTGATGCTACAACTGCAGTTGGCACTGAAATTCTGGGTTAGGTGTACGTGTTCGAATGCACCCTAACGTTCAAACACTGCACCCCATCAGGTCCGGATTTTCTTTTGGGGCACTTCTGATTTGCCTCTGTATCCTCTCGCTGTGTGCAGTGAACTCATCCTCATCATAAGAAACGCATTATTCGGGGCGACAGGAGTATGCACTCGAATAGTGTTTGCTGCCCTTTTTGTTGCATACTCAGTCCACCAGTATATGCCCTGTATACAAAATACTGTGTAGCACAACGAAGTGGGCTGCGGGTCGCACGAAAAGAGGCGCTTCCCACATCGATGCTACTTCGTAACCTATTTAAGTGCTAGTCTTGGGAGTCAACTGACTGGCTCGCTATTGTTTCAACGGGGCTTCCTACGCAATCAACAAACACACAGACTAGAACTTTCCTGACGCCGTATGAAAGAGAGGGCTAAAGTTGGGGAAAACTGAACCCTCTTGGCTACTCAGCTGAAAGAAATCTGCGTGGTGAAAACGTGCACATTCACTCAAACATCGCGTCGAAGCTTTTTCAAAATGCCCTCCTCGTCCAGGCAAAGGGCTTGTGAGCCTTGAAGAGCCCCGGCGAGATTCATCGTGACTGCGGGGAGGCACATGCCCCGCTTGGGCTCATCCGTGCTCCGCCCTGCGCGGATACTATGATCATCATTTCCCGTCCCTACGAGAAAATCCGTGCTGCTCACTGGTGAAGCCGCGGCCCCCTCTTCAGCCTCCTTCGGGCCAAATTGAGGCGGGGGCAAAACCAATGGGCGATTGCGCGCTACTGAGGAAGTGGCCTCCGTGCTATGCGAATCTTGTGGTGGGACAGATGGGCGCTCGCTAGGACTCTTGCAACCCTCTACGTCATTTGGGTCACTCTGCCGTTTTTCTTGTGTCGTTGCCAGATACTCGGTCACGCCGACTGGTACTAGGGGCGACCCCGACGGCTGTGGTAGGCACGTAGCTTGCGCATGTACAGTTTCTGCTCCGTTAAACCCGTTTCCTGGAAGATTCTCTCTCAGTCCTAAGATCTGTTGCAGGCGAACTTGCCGCGCGACCTCCGCCTGCAGTTCCCTTTGGACCTCTTCCGTTGGGGCGTCCAGGGGCTGGATGCCTCCGTACTTAGAGTGTAAAGCCTCCCATGGGTCGTCTAGAGCCCTCGGAGGGATAGGAAGAAGCTCTGTGGATGATGCGAATGACTGGGAGCCTCTGAAGCCGTCAGCAGGGCGCCCACTTGAGGCCCCTCGAGGGCGCCTAGAACCTCCGCGTCTCACTTGTTGCTGCTGGTTCCATCTGTAACTGCCTGAAGTGAACGGCGCAGACGTCTCCCAGGTTGGCCGCTGCATGGACAGGAGCGATGTACCTGTTCTGCTCGTTTGCCGCTACGGTGCAATGCCTGCGAACTGAAGCAACGGCCAAGCCAGTGGCCTGTGTTTGAGTCCGTGGTGGTTAGCAAGGAACGCTGTAGAAACTTTCAAGTTCAGACAACTGTCACTGTCGACTACTGTCAAATTCGGACAAAAAGAAGCTGATGTCGACGACAGTCAGGAATGGCGCTTCCTGCGCCTGCATTTGCAAGACCCCTATGACGTTTACAGTGGCATTAGGATACACATCATACTGGATGCCACAAAGTCACTAAGCCCGCAAGAAATTTCACGAGCTTGACGATATAAAGCTGGAACGTTCCCATGTTGGGGTACCGCATGTGGCGGCTGCTCTACCTTCGCGGCCTCGCATCAGCAGACGGCATGCTGCACAACAGCCAGTAGTGTTGCTGCAGCGAAGGCAAATACGCCGTTTACATAGGTCACTTCTGTGACTGCGGACATTATAGACCATTATATGGTTTATATTCCACGAGCCTGCCCCTGAGAGCCCCAAACACGTCAGCACCGGGCGGCGGTGAGGCTCGACAGAGGCCCATGGAATGGAGTGCCAAGGCCTTAGGCTTTGAGGCTCATGCCTATTTTTTTTGTTACGGCAACAGTAGAGAATCTGCATGCCGCAGCGCGTGGCCGGCACAACCCTTGCCACCGACCACGGGAAGACCTCAAAATAGCGGGGCTCTCAGCCATGCAGTAGCAGCAGCAGCAATTCTGCCTCGAGCAGCAACAGCAGCAGCTGCCTGAACAGCATCATCGGAAGCAGCAGCGACAAAGGCAGGAGTGACAGCTGCAACGCCAGCAGCGGTAACCTCGCCGTTCGCCCCCATTGCCTGCTGACGGTCCCTTGCCGTCCCGTTGCGTTTAGGGACTCCCAAAACGGTTGTACGAAGGGCCCTGTGTGTTGGCCTTCACCACTGCGCGCTGATTGGCTTTCATCATTGCTCGCTGAAGGTCTCCGCCTATTCCTAAATTGTGCAGGAAACGAAGATCTTCGGGAACTCTAGTGGCAAGACATAGGAGCATCTCCGTGTCAGGGGCCCCACCTGTGCCCCCACATGACCAGAAGAGCAGATGTTCCACAACCCAGGGAGCGCTCCCTCAGGGGCTCCAGAGCGTGGTGAAGGCCTCTCTGGGCAGAGTGGACGCCCACATGGTCAGCAAGGGGCTCCCTCGGCAGCTGCCGGTGCAGCGCGGGCGCCACTTACCACTCACGAACCCACAGTGCGCCGGCCAACGAAGCGCAGCAAGGCTCATAGCTCAAAGTACAAAGTGAGAAAACATGGTGGCCCCATTTCGACGGGCATGGGCCCGTGGGAGGGGGGCCCTGACGCTGAGAACAGTCCTCACGCTGCAGTACCTGCATCAGATGATCCGAGTGCACGCCGCGGCCACGGCAGGCGCAGGGTCCGTCCGCAACACTTGCACTCTGGGAGCTCCGAGGAAATCACGGGTTCTGTGCGGAAACACGCGTCCAAGACTATCATTGGCAAATTGGGAATGGCTGCAGGCACCGGTGAGCTTAGCGGACTCCCGTTTAATGAACGTGTAACGCAGCTGTCCGCTCACTATGCACATGCATGGCCGTGCTCTCTGTGGATTTGAAGCGAAGACTTCGCCGTGTGGAGAAGACGGGTGCTTTCGCTTCTTCCAGTGTCGCTTCGCTGTGTGAAAGTGGTCCGCACTTGTAAGTATGTGACTGTATAATTCCTCATGCTTCCGGCTTGCCTACAGTTCGGCAGTCGGTGCAGCTTTATACCCACTTGGGGCATGCAAAGGGCAACAGCAGCTAGCGGTACTGCTCCTGAAACAGCAGCTATGGATTGCTGTCCTTGCGTGGGTACTAGTGTTCTATTATGATGCCGTTGGCATCGAGCAGCTACGGCATCACTGCCTCGTAGGCATTTGTTTTTCCTTTTGGATCTAAACGTGGAAGCTGTAGCTTATTCTGGGGCTTCCGGTTGGGTGATGCTGCGGTATATGTGTAGCTGCTGCAGCAGGCCGCACTGCACTGATGGAGCAGAAGAGGAAACTCTACAAAGACACGACGCAGCAGCCGTTGTGGGGCATCCGCAAGCTGACAATAAATCCAATAGACAAAGACGACCTGCGCCGTTTCCCCGGAAACGCAGTCAACACTACCAAATATACTGTGAGGAATGAAACTCAGCTGGCCCACAGCAGGCCAACATAAGCGGCTCAGTTTTCTTTGAGGGGGTTTCACAGCCAGCGTGAACTGCAGCTATGTGGGCTGCTGGAGGCCCTATCCTGCTACGCTTTGACAAGGCATTTCGTGGTTTCAGGATTCCTAAAACGAATGATACAAACAGACCTGCATTTGAGTGTAATGTTTCCATAGAGTGTGCGAGCAGCTTTGCATATTCAGGAGCGACGGCGCTTTACTTCACATCTGTTCGAGGTTGAGTTGATTGTTCTGGGCTTTTAGGCGCATGCATGGTGTGTTTTATTCACCTTTGTTCTTGTCGTATGCAGGTTATGTCATTTCTGCCCAAGGCCTTGTGGAAGCAATTCCATAGACTACCGAACTGGTGGCTAACATTGGTACTCATCTTAGAGTTTATTCCTTTGCCTCGCTTCCACCCTCTCACTCCGTGGAGCACTTTTCTCCCTTTGGTCCTAAGTACGTCTCAGACGGCACTTTTCGGTCCCATACAGGAGAACCCCAGCGTGGCAAGGGCACAAGAGTGTGGACTTTCAGGGCAGCATGCTTTCTCTGCAGATATGTGCGATTTTTTTGTGCTGCTGGTTCAATCTTTGTGCCTTTGCTGTACTCGTGTTCTTACGTTGCAGCACTGGGACTGTGTCTGATTAAGGAGATGCTCCTAGATTTGCAGCGTCGCGCCACTGACAGGTGGCGCAACTGTCGCGTGTGCACCATCATAGATGGTCGGCGGCCTCAGCTGAAGATGGTGCACTGGGAGGCGCTGCGTGTAGGCAATATAGTGCGTTTAACAGACGACGAGGAAGTGCCTGCGGATGTGGTGGTGCTGGCCACCTCAAACCCTGAGGGCATAGCTTACGTGGAGACCTCCAAACTGGACGGGGAGACGACCCTCAAGTTCAAACAAGGTGTTAAGGAGACACGCACGGAGACCTACCCGTTGGCCATAGCCGGCATCAGGGGGCGCGTCGTCTGCGAGAAGCCCACAAGCTCTATGGACAGCTTCAGCGGTAGCCTCAAACTTGATGCGCACCCTCGCGCTACTTCGCTAGACCTCTCAAATTTCATTCATAGGGGAGCTCACATTCGAAATACGGAGTGGGTGTATGGTGTTGTGGTCTACACCGGCCACGACACTCGGACACTTCGCAGCGCCAGGCATCCCAGCCTTAAATTCGCCCACATAGAGAGTGAGGTCAACTCCTACACCATCGTGTCCTTCTTCATCATTGCTTTGCTCATCCTCATCTCAGTCATGAGCAAATCCAGCGTACAGGTGCGTTCAGCGTCACTCTAACCTCGTAGGGATCCCGTGATGGTGCTTTTGGCCGTATACAGGATTAGAGCGTCCCTTCATAATGTCATGCGGCCGCTACATTTCGAAAGTGGCTCATAGACTCTTGTGTTTTATGCCCCGTAGGTGCACGTGCGAATACACGCGTACATTCATGACTGAATGAGATCATGCACTTACTTGTTGCAAGTGGACGCGTTGCATGCGGACTGACTATGGGTCTCAGGATCGCGAACGAGTGAACATTGGGCGGGATGAATTTCCGAGCTCGACTGCATTTTTGTTGGGGACGACTGAGGCCTTGCAGAATCCTTGGCTTGCCATAATCCGTTACATGACTCTCTTCCTAGCTGTGATTCCGGTTTCCTTACCGTTTGTTCTGGACAGCGCGTACTGCATTCAAGCGTGGTTGATTCAAGGAGACGCGGCGATGACTGTCGGGGCCCCACAGCAGCCTCTGGGGTCCTCTTTCGGCTTCGGTTTTGGGCTTGCGCATGCGCAGAGTCGTGCCCGAATGCAGGCGCGCCGTACGGAGGTAGGGCTAAATGCAACGCAAACTAGCACCAACAACTTGGCCAGCCCGGCGGAGTCATGGGGACCCGGAGCTTCTGGCGACTGTTCCAGACGAAAAACTACCATGAGTAGGGAGACCCGGAGCCCTACTATTGGGAATGAAACGGAACGCAAGAACACAGATCCTTTTACTGGGGAGACGCAGAACTCGCCCAATATGCGCAGTTTTGCAGAGGCAAAGGGAGATAGCACGTGGCCAGCGGTGAGCACTCCCAGCATAATTCCAGACCTGGGTCAAGTTGATTTTGTCTTCATTGACAAGACCGGGACTCTAACGGGCAACGACATGACTTTCTCTATGTGCAGCGTTGTGGGCAGGTGCGTTTTCAGCTTAGTGCCTGCTTTTGGTTGCGCCGCTTGGCTCTGTGCCAACAGGCTGCAACGGCCTGTAGCGGGGGGTTGGTTTGGGAGCCCCAGGGCTGAAGATTGCTTCGAAGTTTGTTGATAAGTAATGCATGCCATGTGCTGTATCATGCCTGCTGTGTATGGAACAGGATTTACGGGATGGCGGATTTTCATGGTGCCCTATGGCAGTCAGATGAATACCAGTCTCGCAGTGATTTGCTGGAGCCGGCGATGGTGGAACAGCTGCGAGCAGCACGCGCAGACAGCACGGCCAGCTCGAGGAGACATCAGTCCGCTCGAGGGCTGTGGACATCAGGCCACATGCATTACGGCCGAGGGGGCCACCGTGGCTCCAAGGAAAACGTCACAGGAGGCGGAGGCGTCCACTTGGCCTTTTCAACTGCGGGGACCCACGGCATGCCGGGGGATTATGGGCCCAGCCCAAGTCCTCCGACGCCACAGAGCGCCTCTTCTTCGGATGAGAAAACGTCTTCTCGTCTCTGTGGGTCTTCGGCAAACCAACTAGCTTCCCTGATGTTGCACGTTTTGCTGCTTTCAACTGTTCGTAGACGTGAGGGGCCGTGGCATTTCACGCACATGCTGCTGGTGGCTTTCTTGATCGCTTCCATTTTGCGTCTTGGTTCAGTTTCTCCAACGGTGAGCCGGAGTGGGTCGGTTTTGCAGTACCGGTGGGACTCTGGGCCGCTTAATTGTATTCGAAGCTTAGAGGATAACAGTACGTCTTTCTTCGTTAAGCTCTTAATGAATGGATGTGCACACGGCAGCGCACCGAACACCACATTCCAGAAGTGTTCTTAGCTGAAGGATACAAGGGCTTCTCTGAGCGCCTGGAGATTTCATCAATTTCGCCTTCCTCCTGCAGGTCCGCGTCCCCGTTATCGTCCTAGGCTGGGCCGAATGCAAAGTAGCGCTTCCCGGTTGTCTTCGGCGTCCGTAAGTGGGAAAGCTCGACTTCTCAGTTTCTGAGCTGCTTTAAAATTTCGATGTTTTGGGGAGAGCTAGCATTTGCGTAGGAGGGGCAATTTCTGGGGCAGAAGCATATCATACATGCGGCTTGTTCATTTTTGAGTCAGAGTTGAAGCTGATGCCAGTATTGGCTCAGTGGCACTGGATCTGATCCTCTGCCTATAGGACCCGTGTGAACAGTTTTTGTTTCACTGAGCCTAGTAAATCTATAGAGCTTGCTCTTTTGGTGCAGACGCCACAGTCTCCTGTGCCGGTCGACGACAGCTTGCGGGGAATGGCCCAGAGACCGGTCAAAAAGAATATTGCTTTTGCCGTGGGTAAGCCCCAAACGCGGAATTTGGTGGTTTTTTGCTTGACATCGAGGAATATGGCTTCAAAATGCTGTTATTAACTGTTTTGTGCTGCTGTCAGCCGCAGAGTCGTTAGTTGTTTTGGGAATAGGCAAGTGGACTTGCAGCCCTTGTCTGCTTGTTTTGTCTGCCGTTATTTGCAGATGATGCTGATGATTCTTGCCGCGATAAAGCCGAGTGGGTTGTACAATCTCATATCCATCTTAGTGCTTACCGACGAAGCACCAGATGGAGAGCGTGGGTATTGAGCTAGCACTGCATATAGTAATCCGCTTATTAAATGTGTTGAGGCAGTGCAAGACGAGTTGGCTGCTATGGCGTTATTTAGGCGGGCGGGCACACCCTGCAGCTCTGAAGATAGCTCGTCACAATCCCGCAGGGAGACCGTTGCAGCGAGCCCCACCAACCGTGCAGCAGAAAGGATTAGTGATGATTCTTCGGAGACAAACAGCAAGAAGGACGAAAAGCAGAGAGTTCCTTTCCTGTACGATAACATCACTCCTCCTACTCACTTTCGAGGTGAGAGGAAGGCGACACGGCGGTTAGCTGCTAGCACGCGGCCGTATTTTCTTTTCCCCTCCAAACGAATGAGATTCTACGAGCTTATGGTTATATTTTGTGATATTTCCTGTAGCAACCCCGTCAGATGGCCAAATCCGTCGGAACTGCGACTTCTATGATATGCAAATTTTCGAAGATTTGGCCAATTGTGACGAGAGGAGTCACCGCGTAAATGAGTTCCTCAAATGCATGGCGCTTTGTAATACGGTGGTGCCACACTTCAAGGGCGCGGCTGGCGGTGTTGAGACGCTTCTGCCATCGACATTTGTACAAAGCTGGATTACCAGCGGCGGGACCCACACAACGGCAAGCGTCTACGCACGCTCTGCATGCACTGCGGCCCCCATCTCCATGGTTACTCAGAGACCTAGTACGAGGGCCAGTGGTGTCACTGTGAGGGATATAGGAACCAAGCCTACTGAAGACAGAACAGCTTCGGGCGGGGCTCTGTGGCATTTGCCTTCGGTGAGTTTTGGCTTTTGGGTAGAGGCGTTCAGGAAGAGAACTCATGCAAAGGCACCACTCTGCCGTGGCATTTCTTTTAGTTCGTAGATAGCTTATTCACATTCAAGTGATGATATCTTCAAGCATTTGACAGTGTATCGTATGTACACCTAGCTGCTTGCGCTGCTAAAACATAATTGGCTTTCTCTTTGTATAACTGGTCGTGGGGCAGCCCATATTTTTCCTCATAGCTCATGAATGCAGCTTATTATACTTGGTGGCGGTTGCACAGAACTCGTTTAACGCCAGCCCTGCTCTCCCGTCGGCCAGTATGGAGGCGAATGGCGTGTCCGATCCGTCGGACGTGCCTCAACCGTCTCTAGCTCGCGGCGATTCTTGCGACAGTAACCCACCTCCAGAGGTGCCCTTGAAGCTGGCGAAAAGGCGTAAAAGCCTTGGAAGAGGTTTGGCCAGCGCCGGCTCCTATTTTGTAGTCCATGCAGGGATACTGCGGCTATTGGTGAGCTGCTGTTTCGGTTGTTGTCTCATTCGTGGTGCAACTTCCTCTACGTTTTTTGATTTGCAGGAGTGTCCTTCAAAGAGATACCTGAGGAGTATAACTTTCTGAAGGATGGGTAGGGACGCAGACGGAAGTAGGAGGGAAAACTTGGCCTAGCAATTGCCGATGCTGCTGGGGATGAGGCGGCGCGTACTTCAGACTGCGGGCTGCTATGCAGTTGTGTTGTGCGTTTCTGCGCGTAAGCTGCCAGTGAGTTAGATTGTTTGTTTTTGTACATGGCTGCTCTCGGCGTTATTTGCTCACTAGGGATGACGCGGGGTTGGACGACTCTGGTCAGAGCTTCTCAGGATTGGGAATGAACAGCAAGTCAAGTGGCGAGTTCGTTTCTCTTGGGCGCGTTTCATTGCCAAGGTGCAGTCCTCATTGGCGTTTTGCCGGTTCTTATTTTCCGTGCTATTCGAGCATCAGGCGGTGACAGATGCAGCGTATCCTAGCATTTTAGAAGAATTAACGAGCCATTTGAGCAGTTCTGCTGTGCTTGCTGTTCTGCAGGCTGAGCAGGGTACACTTCAGAATCGGCGAACGGAGAGTTTGATAGAAAATTTGCCAGCGAAGTAGAGACGGGGGCAATTGCTTTCTGCATTCGCCGCACGAGCCTTTGTGTGTGTGACTTGATTTGCCAAGTCCCTTTTTTTCTCGTGTTGCTTGGCCTCAGGAAGAAACCTGTGCAGCCCCGCGGCAATCAAGAAGTGCGTCCAGCCCTAGCGCCTTCAGCCCTGGGCTTCTTGGCTCTGATAGATGTCAGCTGCCGCAGTGAAAGGATTCACAAGTGACATGCAGAGCTTTGGGTGGTGGTGATACGTGCTACACGCAGGTGGAGCGGGCAGGACTCAGACATGGGACCCAGCGCGTCTACTGCGAAGCATCAAGTACCAGGCGTCCTCGCCGGATGAGGAGTGCCTGGTTTCAGCTGCAAGTCACATGGGTTATTCCCTTGCCTTTAGGGGTCCAGCATCCGTTGTACTGCAGGTCTGCTTCGCACGTTTGGGCCTTTTTCATGCTGATAAGGCACAGGCAACCTGTACCCGTAACCTGTAGACTAGTTATAGCATCAGCTCAACTGCGTCGCGTGCGAAGTCGGCGATATAGGGCTTTCGTGTGTTCCTGATGACCGCGTGGATGACATGGCTCTGGCTGCGAGGACTGTTTCAGATAAACGACGAGTTTCGCAGCTGGCAAGTCATCGGCGTCAACGAGTTCACCTCCAAGAGAAGCCGAATGAGTATAGTCTTGCGCCCTGCCGGATGGACTGAGGGGGCCATCATGTACGCCAAAGGTACGGATGTTTGTGGCTATCCAGCCCGTGCTGTAGGCATTTTTCATACTGAAAATATTGGGAGTTTTGTTCGTGCTGCGAAACTGGCTTAAGAGAGATAGAAACTTGTCCGGCTCCTGTTTCACAGCACGGCTAGAACTACCGATTTGCTCCCATTCCACGCTGCCCGCCGTTTGTGGCTTGTAGATTTGTGATCACGAGAATGTCTGTTTGTTCTTCGCAAGATTGTCTTTCGGTTGTGGGCTTTTGACTAACTGCAGGGGCCGACACGGCAATGCTGCCACTGCTTTCGAGCTTCGACGGCATGCTGCAGGAAAGCAGAACCGGCGCAAAGTACGAGGGAGGTCCAGACCCGCAGGACACACAGTATGCTGAGTCGCGTTTTAGCAGGTCAACGACGAGCATGAGAGATGGAGCGGATCGCCAGAACTTCCCACGAGTAGCTCCTGCAGGTTCTGTGGCCTACAACACGCCCCATGAAGCAAGCCAAAATTTTGCTTTTAGCAGCGAGCAGGCAGAGCCCTTCAAGCCCTGTCCCGCCCCTGAAAGCCGTGTGGAAGCAGACGTTGAGCTAGTTGAGCAGCATCTGAAGGTCTTCTCGCTTCAAGGTTTACGCACCATGGGTAAATAGAAGCCTCTGCGGCAGCTCAAGCGAAAGTTGTTGGGGCCAAGTCTCTCAAATGACAGAACCACGACTCAGATGCGCATCCGTCCAAACACTCTCATTATGTGTGTGTTGTGCTTTTGCGCTGCTTATTCCACAGTTCTCGCTTGTAAGTACATGAGTCAGGATGAGACTGACGCATATCAACGCCTCTACAATGACGCGTGTTCCTCGGTTTACAGCAGAGAAGAGCGTCTCGAGCAGGTAAGGGTGCTGGAGGATCAAGGCTGCCCTTATTTTGGAGGCTCATAGCGCAGAGACTCACATTGAAAACACCAATTGCAGCCTTAAGGTATGTTGGCTTGCTTTGAGCAGGACAATTTGTGTGCAGGTGGCGGAGCAGTTCGAGCGGGACTTAGAGTACCTTGGCATCACTGGAGTCCGGGACAAGTTGCAGGCCTATGTGCCTGAGACACTTGAGCTCATGATGGAGGCCGGCATCCGCGTGTGGATTGCTACGGGTATGTTCGACAGGATGTGTCTCCCGTTCCGGCTATTATTAGGGACGTACTCTAACTTTGTTTCCGTCTGAGCATTGGGTCGACTGAGAGAGCTAGTTTCGCTAGGCTGATTGAAATGATATAGATTCGTCAGCAGCATGCCATTGTTGCCTACTTGTTCTTCGATTAAACCACTGCGCCTTAACAGGTGATGACGTCGAGTACGCTTTGCATATTTGTCATAGCTGCCGACTTCTCACTAGCCATACAAAGGTGTTCCACGCGGCTCTTGCCACAAGAGGTTAGTTTCATTCCTCCCGGCTGCATTTGTCCTGAAGTGGGACTGGGTGCGCCTAAGCTGTGGTCATCTGCCCGATAGAGTACCATGCAAGCCATGCAACTGAGTTTTTCGCTTCCTCCAGGCAAGCGAGCCAAACGGGAAGGAATGTTGCTTTACGACATGTTTCGAGAGGCGCGGATACTTAAGCGTGCTGACGAACATATTTGCCTTGTCGTGACAGGGCCAAATCTAGCGGCCTTCCTGAACCACCCAGATTTGCAGGTACAGTGTGCACCTATGTAGTAACCGGTACTCTGTTACATTTCGTTCATTTTGAATTCTTTGGAGGGAGAGATGGGCGGGTTTTCTTTGGGATATGCGCTACTGGTTACCCTCAGACCTGCTTCCTAAACATGGCGTGCTGTTGTGACGTCGTGGTGGCGGCGCGTGTGACACCGACTCAGAAAGCAGACATGGTAACTTTCTGTCTTTCTTCAGTGTGGCTACACCAGAGGGTCCGATTTTAGTACAGCCAGCAAGATCAAGTGATTGTGTGCATGCTTGTAATACCTGAAATTTGGCTGGCGCGTGGCGCAGGTTCGGCTAGTGAAGAAGCGATTAACACCGCAACCGATTACTTTGGCCATTGGTACGCTTCTGCCTGCCTCTGAATTCGTGTTTCAACTTACCGAGGCAAGCTAGAAGGTGCTCCTTGTGGGGCGCTTCCGTCTTCTTCTTTGTAGGTGACGGGAGCAATGACGTGCCAATGCTTCAGGAGGCGAGTGTGGGCGTGGCTATTCGCACCGAACGAGGCACGTCAGTGGCAGGCTTTGCGGACTTTGCCATCTCCGAATTCAGGTATGTGGCATTTTGCCCACCATAACACGTGGTGCAAATTCGTTATTCCTAATCCCTGATGATCATTGGCAGAGAACTGGATGCGCTGGCAGCTTCTTCGAAGCCGGGTGTGACCGCGCTGGATTTTTGTACGGTTTTTCGTCTGGCAGGTTCTTGCAGAGGCTCCTCTTTGTTCATGGGCGCCTCAATTTTTTGCGCATCTCTAAGGTCATTCTGTGGACGTTTTTCAAGAGCATTTTGCTATCTTTTCCGGGTCCGTTTTATCAGTTGCAACTGGTTTCATCTTCCCTTCTTCCTACCAATAATACTTACTCTGTTTGCGTCAACGGATGCACTCGCCGTTTTCCAAGTCAGCATCAGCCTATCACGGATCGACCATGGGAAATGCTGATTTACCCTAGAGATGCGTAGAGAGAACTCTTGCGTTTATCGCTTGCGCTGCAGTGTTCTTGTTCCAGCCCAGTGCATTCTGGTCCGCTGTGGAGGTACGCAGACTGTCAGTAACTGCGCGAGTTTTGAATATTCAGGACACTTGCCCGTAACAGCAGGCTGCCACTTGACGTGATTATTCGGCATCTGCTTGGTGTGCCTTCTCAGCTCTTCGACCCGGTATTGTATATGCTGGCGAACTTCCTCTGGACAGTTTTGCCAGCGATTGTTTATTCGTTTTCGGAACAAGACCTGCCGGAGCACTTACTACCCTCAATTCCTGTTCTTTATACCTTGGTAAGGATCAAATGGTAAACCATGCGCCTTCATGAACTGTTAACGCAGTGTGGCGCATACCCAATTGTCGCCCAGCTTGTACGCTTGTAAAATGTTTTATGATCCTTTGTTTAGCTCGGCGTTGCTGCATCTGGCAACTAAGCGTCTTCAGGTAATTGTGTAGGTGCATTTGTGTGCCTGTAGGGAAGGCGCCGTCTATACTTCAACGGGTTTACTTTTAGCTTTTGGACCGTTGAGGGAATAATTTACTCTTTGCTGACTTATTACATATTGCAGGTGTGTAGGTGCTGCCGCTTCGTATGGGGAAGGCGGCTAAATGGGATTTAATAATGCCACAATTCGCTGCAGAGCCTATTGACATGTGCGTTAAGGAACAGCGCGATCCCAGGGCGGCTTGCGCGGGAGAGATACTCGCATTGGCATATGTTTTATCAGTATCGCCCGATGTCGCACTTTTGTGTCCTCATATTTCAATTTAGGCAGCATGGATGGACTCGAATGCAATCCCTGGCGGCCAAACAATGGGGTTCTTCTCATTTGGTGCTATTCTGCTCTTCGGCTTGATAATTCAAAGCAACTTGCGCATGTAATTGAGGCACTCTGCCTTGGATGAGTGCAGGATGCAGCATAATTCTTAATGCATGCACCCAGTGCACATACACCCAGTGGGGACACCGACACGGTGCTTCAGCTGTTCCCTAGCTTCCTGTTTGTGCCTGCAGTTCGTCAGTAAACATCTTTTCGTGCTCGTAAATTTCAATAGGGACATAGAAGTACTTTCTTACGTTTGTTTGAATCAGGTTGATGGAGACACACTTGTGGACTCCGACCTTTATATTAACTACCGTGGGCCTGTGCACACTTATATATATCCCTGGTGAGGGCTTGGCGGATTTTTGATTCTGGCGCTTGCTGGCGTAGGCGATTTGCGTCGGTAAACGTCCAGTAACAAGCCTTTTGAATGCACGTCACGCTCGTATCGGCCGTCACTTTGTTTTCGTTTTGTGTGTTCTACATGCAGTTTTGTACGTCTACTCTGCCATTGGATGGCCATCGCGAGGCATGTTGGGAGTTGCATCCGAAGTTTTCGCCTGGCCACTACTGTATTTTGTTGTGTTGCTTTGGATTGGCGTTGGTACGCAAAAAATGCTTTAATGCGTTATTAATGGAACGTCGCCATCTCCGTCATCTTGCAGGAGTGATACACTTCTAACACATGAAACAGGCTACGGAGAATAATGGCAGCGAGCTTGGAATGCACGTTTGTGCGTGGACTTCAGGCATAATGCTGCAGGTCTTGTTAGCGGGTGTCAAGTCGTCCCTCTTCCACAACATTGCGTAGGTCACTGCTTTGCGCATTAATTTGTCTTCTCTTGAGCGTTTGCCCTCCAGCTTGCGCCTTTTGTGCGTGGGTTTGGCGGGTTCATTTAGCCGATGGGTGTAATCTGTTCCTGCATGTTGACTGGCAGGAACAACGTGAAGCATTGGTTGGCACAGCGACAAGCAGAGCATGATAAAAGACGACGGGTCACAGGCTTACCTTTCGGGGAGCCTCGTCTTCGGCTTCTTCCCGGTGATAATAAGGAGCCATCAGAATAGTGCCATCCATCGGCTTTTGACAATTGTTGAGAGTTTGCGGCAGCTATCTTTTTATTTATTCTGTGTCACAGGTGGTCAGGACGAGTACGGGCCTTTCTGTGGAACCAGCAGCTTGCTATCAGCCGTGAAGAGACTGTTGTGGGTGTGCGGTTTTGGAGCCTGTCTACCAGCTCCGGGACCCGTACACCAGCTGGTGGACCGTCGTATTCTCGCCTTTCTCCGGGACAAATTCAATCCTCTACGTCACAGCGAAGTGTCCACCAAGTTACCACCCCCCAGGAGGTTCCGCGTGAACGAGAACTTCGTCACTTACGGTGGCGATAAGAAGGAGAAAGACTTAGGAGCTCAAGGTGAGCCGTGTTGATGCGCCCAGCAGTGGCTGCTGCGCTTGTAGCTTTCGGTGCTGCTCTGTGGATCGGAATTTTGCACAAATGAAATTGCTGCCTCTTAACAGCGCGTACCCCGTATGCGGTGGTGCTCAGAGAAAGACGGTGGAGGCTCACATGGCCGAGGGGGAGGCGCTGCAGTGAGTTTATTGAGTAAACCGTTGTCCATACCGAAGTGCTTTGGACGAGAGCGTAATTGTGCTGCGGAATGGCGCATGTTCGCGTGGGGGGTTCCTCTGCGGTTTCATATCAGGATGACGTCTCAATGGATTCGAACTCTTCTGGAATGTCTTTTGAAGGGGATAAGCATCGAGACCGAGTCAAGCTGGTGAGCGCACTCAAACTCTTCGTTCCGGCTTAGAGTGCCCGGTACACTTTGGTTCAAGATTTGAGTTGCCGTGTTCAGGTCAAAGTTTCACATCTGATTAATCGCTTTTCTCTCAAATTCAAGGACATGCAGCTGGAGGCAGATTACCAGATCCACCAGAAGAAGTCGTTTGTCAAGCGTCTTGTCCCTTGGTACTTTCTCTCCTAAGCCAAGTGGCAATATTGCATTCTACGCATTTTGGCCCGTGGTTTGTAACGAGATGCTGTGGATGTATCAGTTTTTCTGTTGCAAGTGGCACTTGGTCTGCTTGAGCTTCCTCGGCAACAAAAAGAATTTGAAGTCACTGCGTTGTGCTTCTCAGGTACCGCGTCATCTTTGTGTTTTTGGGTCTTTACCGCATTGTTGCGTTTCTTGCTGAATATTTTATCGACGCGTATTGGGGAACGGAGAAGCGGGTTACACGTACGCTACTTCCATTACAGTACAATTGCTCTGTTCGAACACGCCGCTGTGCATTGCTGGGAAAGTTTTACTGGAAGTTGAAACTATGCAGTATCAGGTGATGGCAGCAGGTATCTTGAAGCAGAGACGGTTTGATTTCGTGCTGGTTCTCTGCAGCGTGGATGTGCATTCCGACAGTCATAGTAGTTTTAGGGCTGCTCGGTGCAACCCTGTCTACGTTTGGCCAGTTCTTCATGGATCATTTTTCTTTTGTCTTGAGCTCCGTCATCTTTCTCATGCTGGCCGAGCATGTCACCCTGTACGCAGCTGCGGTGAGTCGACAGCCTTTGCTGCTTATTTCTTTCCAAGCCCTCATCCGATCACGAGTTATGGCAGCAGTATACTACTACGATTCATGGGAATTTGGTAGCATGCAGCTGTACGGAGATAAGGCCGAGATTTCTGTGGGGGCTTGTGTTTCATCTGTGCTGCAGAAAATGGACGGCATATTGAGCTCACTGTTATTTCCTGTGTTTACGTTTGTCATACTGCGCATTTCATTCTTGCAAGCTGTGATGTGGAACATCTTCTTTGTCCTCGCCTTCACGATTAGGTGGGTTTGCCTCTTTACGTAGGAAGCTTTTTGCCTAGATAACTGTTTCGGCTGCGTGCCGTTGACGAAAAAACCAGGGACACTCTGCATTGCCTTTCATTTACCCTGATGAATAATATCCAATTCTTATCTGGTATACCCTGTGGGCTTAAAGTTGAGGACTCTCTGGGAGCCATGTTCCGTTTAGTGGGGCTGCGGGAGATGGTATCCCAGTCAGCAGAGGAGCGGGGGCACATCATCGCGTATTGTCTTGGGGGACTCCTGTCCGATCTTCTCGCAAAATTCCATTCATGTTGCGCATTGGCTTGGTGTAGATATATCATTGGACAGAGTCAGAGCTACCTTTCTCTTTCGGACCTCTACGACCACCTGCCGCTTTTCCTTGGTTCCATCGTTTTTGTTGGTGAGGCTTGCACTATCTCTTTATTCCAGAGACGTACTTCCTCCTTACACCGGATGCCTTGAAAAGCCACGAGCAACACTGAACGCGTTGTGAATGAATGCATTTGGCTTTTAGCTGTATTCTGTGTCAGGGTTTGTCGGGTATCGTCTTGAGTACAACCAGCGAAAGTCATTTTTGCTGGATTACAGCGTGGAGGCGAGCAGGCGAAAACAGCGAGAAATTTTGAACACCATGCTTCCACCTTTTGTTGTTGATCAGATGATAAACGCGCCTTTGAACGAAGATGGGTATGGCTTTTTTTGGTATCCATCATCAGCTGCGCCCGCTTCGTGAATTCGATTTTGTAGCGTGACTGCAAAGTCTTGCCTTCATTGCATGAACGGGAAACTCTCTGCTTTGGGAGTGCATCAGAGTCCAGGCAGTTGTACAGTTGTGCATTTGGCGTATGCGCGGCTCAGCATTCCGTCTACTTTGGAGGCAGAAGACCGCGGGACTGTATCAGTAGTCTTTTGCGACGTCTATGAGTTCCAGCAAGTAGTTGCATCCATCGAACCTACTCGGCTTGTTGAAGTGAGCCCACCTGCATAACTAATACGGTTCCAGAGCGCCGCATGACGAATTACTATATTTTCAAGCTACCATTTTAGAGTTCGGATCACACCGGTCGTCTTGTACTCAGGTGTTGGACTCCCTTTTCCTTTGCTTTGACAAAAGTGCAGAGCAATTTGGTTGCACAAAGATCGAGACGGTCTTCGAAACTTACCTTGCAGGTGCGACTCCATGCTTTATCGCTTTTTAAAGCATAACTAGGAAGCTGCAGCAGCGTGGCGTAGCGATTCTAGACACAAATCTGTTTGGACGCTCGGCCTTTATATGTAGGCATCTGATGAATCCTTGCTTGTGCGCTTCACCAGCCGCTGGACTCCAGCCAGGGAAGGGAAGCGAGTCTGATACGTCTCAAACGGATGCAGGGGATGCGCTGGAGTACGTTCTGTACTTTGAATTGCTTTCCTTAAGATTTAGTCGGATAACTCCACGTGGGGCCTGGCAGCTGTTAAATTCTGCCAAGATGCCGATGAAGCTGGTAGAACTTATGGGCTAGAAAGCAATCTGAGGTCAGATGAGTTTCGCCTACCGACGAGACTAAGCTTTTGTGGCATTGTGTTTCAGCATGGCACTGGCGATGTTAGAAGTCGCTGCTCAGATCCGCTATGAAGTGACCCGCGACCTCTCAAATGCTGTGGGCACTAACGACGAAGAACGTAAGCTGGCGCGCTAGTCACGCATGCGGACCGATGCCCCAATCGCGTGGAGTGAGTTGGCTTATTGCAAGGTTGCTTATGTGGCTCGTTGCTGGCATTCAAGACCTTGCCGAGTTATGGTGTGCTTTTTTAGAGGCACATGCTGCTGCCAGGATGAGTAGCTCTGTAATGACACGACAGAAGACGGCAACATTGAGAACGGTGTTGAGTTCCCGGCCACAACGCATTCGTGTCAAAATCGGAATCAACTCAGGTAGGTGGTCGGATCTGCTACGCCACCCCAGTTACCTTGAGTTAACCCAGTCCTGTGCTCCTTGCTTGCGTATGATCTTCAAGATCCGAAACGAGATAGATTTTTTATCAGGAAAAAATGAAACGATTTGGAATTGATATGTGCTTTGTTTCGAATGCATCAAGGTCGCGTCATCAGCGGAGTCGTTGGAGCCAAGAAGCCCCAATATGCGCTCTTCGGTGACACAGTCAATACGGGTGAGCCGAGGAACTGTAATCCCGTAGCTTTTGGGGGTTCACGAGATAGAAGATTGTGGAATATACGTGCCTTCACGCTTCAATTTTTAGGCGTGGTTTTTACAAGGAATGCAGTGATGCCTTCCAGTAAGTACGGAGTGCCACCTGTATAACGCACTTCAGTTTAACGTTTGCAAGCAGATAGGAGCGAATGCTTCTTCACACTTTGAAGGGCATTTTTTGAATCATTGTCGGGGCTGATGCACAGCGAGCCGTATGAAAACTACTGGTCAGCCGGATTACATCCACATTAGCGAGAGCACGTACGACCTTGTAAAGGATGATACTACACTCTTTTATGAGGCGCGAAAGACGCCGGTGAAGGGAAAGGGCGACATGAACACATTCCTGCTCGTACGAGTAATGGGTAAGACATCTGTGATTCTTCTCAACAGAGTCGGACTTTGGGGATCGGCAGCTCGTGTGTGTGGGGTGGTAGTGTCACCACTTAAGCATGTTGTGTTTGAAGGGTAATTGTAACAAGCATCTGCCCCTTGTGAAGCAGTGACGGACTCGTCACTGTGTGGTCGAGCTGCGGCGCATTGTTTTTCATTCATGCTTTAGAGGAGTGCGTTTTGCTGTGTTTTACCAGGCTCATCTTACCCCAATTTCGGCGAGGACGAGCGCTCACTTTCGGGGCCATTAGGCAGCAAAGACGGCGCCCTCAATCCCTTCGGGCAAGGCTCGGCGTCACGTGCGTTTTCATGTTGTAGCAGCTACTGTAACTGCAGAATCTTTCTTGATAATTGTGTACATCCTTTTTAATATAGTGAATCCGAAGTTATATGAACTAAGCAGGCCAGCATTTTTGCGCAATTGAAGTAGATTCAGAGGGCCCCTGTGATTTGCTGTGCTTTTTCTGCTCAACAGTTGGTGGGGAAAGGATTCCAACCGTGTGGGTACGCCGTTCTTATGCAAGAGACTGCCTTACTGTCGCGCTTTTGGCTACTACCCCAGCATCAGCACGTGACTTGGTTGCCAGTCGCAATGGTCTGTGCACGGTTTATTTCTGTTTGTGCAGCCTGGGGCAGCTAACGTTGGTCCAACGTCGAATGAGGCCATTATACCCAGCGCCGCGTCTTTTTCGCGTGAAAGGCAGCACACGCAGGAGTTCCCAGGATCGGTAGCGCAGTCGATTCCATCAACTCCGCGTTTGACACCTGGGTTGACTTCGCGCTCTTCACTCTCCGAATCGATATCTCCTCCGGAGGGATCGAGTCCGCGGACGCCTTCCATTCATTCTCTCGAACGTTCACTTTCCAGGGGCCAGCGCAGCTACTCAACTATGTCCAGCTCCGAGGCAGGAGCCATTAGCATGACTCCGCAGCAGCTTACTCGAGCATACGCGCGGCAGGAGAGTGTCTCCCGTGTTTTGGCCTTCGCACGTGACGGTCTGCAGACAGCCGTTAGGGAATCTTCCGAGCTGAAGAGGCAAGAAATTGCTCGTCAAGTTCACGCACAAATCCTGCGTGAACAGCTTCACCAGGGATCCAGTTCCGTGTGGTCCTCCCAGGAAGACATGAGCGTCGGCAGCAACTGCTTGAGCACCAACGTAGCCTCCCTACCGCAGTTTCGCTACGCTGCTTCTCACACTGCTGATATCCGCAATAGCTCCCGCATTGGGAGATCCATTAGCAGCAGTACTCGCCAGTCTCCCCGCCAAACGGTTACGAAACGTGCGGTCAGCGAGAGTCGAGCTCTTGAAATGCGGAACAGTAGAACTGATATCACAGGTGAAGCTACATACTGCTACTTCACATAAGTCAGGAAAACACGCAAAGCCACCCTACTTGTTTCCAGCTCCATACAAAGAGTGGATTTCGTTGACAGGGGGAGCCTTCCTTCGGTGTTGGTTGAGGCCTGTTTTTTCTGGCTGCAGAGCCTTCCCTCACAACCCAGGATTCATCAGGCCAACGTTCTCTCGGCATGTGGCGAGCAGCGAACGATCTGTTCGCTCATATTGGAACAGAAGCTCACGCCAAGATTTCCGTGCTCCTAAAGGTGTTAGGAAACAGCGGGTAAGGAACACATAAGCCATTTAGGACTTGGCACAGCTCACCAGAGTTTTTGCCACTCGTCTGCCTACCTCGATCGAATCTCTCAGGGCTTAGGACTTTTTTCCGGTACATCTGCCCTCAGAAAAGAAGAAGAACACGCTGCAGACATAGGAATAGATGATGAAGATAACTTTGGTGAGCGTAGAAGACTGCGTGGAGGAGATCTTGCAGCTTGAGATGTTGTGTGCAAGGGACATGGTGCTTTTATCCGTCTTCCTCTGCAATGTAACGGAGTCTGTACATACCGTCTATATGTTAAATTTTCAGAGGCCAGGGATGCGCGCATTGGCGCGTCGCGAGAAAGCTTGTTACTGATGAAGTTTAAGGACAAGAATTTGGAGGCTCGGTACAGGACACACTTTTACAACAATAAGTCCAATATCAACACTATTGAGCAGGCTATCATCATATTTCTAGTTGCTTTTGCCGTCCAGACGCTGGTGCGGCTCTGCCTGCCGTGGAATTACACTGAAGTGGTTGACGGCGTCAAGTACACAATTAAGGTATCCTCGCGGCTGTATTGGGGAGTCCGCGCCACGTATACTTGCGTTGCCTTTCTTCTATGGATCCTCTTCCACTACCGTAATAGGGGCGAGGTGGGCTGTGCATCCTGCGTCACCTGCTCTCATCATCTTCACAAGGTTGCATGTTCCGTGAAAGCATAACAGGCAGTTTCTGCGAGTCGTGGTATTCACATGCATAGAATGGAGTGCAGACCAGTCCAAGGGCATTGTGTATGCGGGCTACTGGCTTTTACAGGTAGCGTCGCGGCTCGAAATCCGTTGGATGGTATTTTTGCTAAACATTCTATTTATTTCTGCGGCCTGCGTGTTCGCCCTGAGCAACAGTTGGAGTACTGAAACAACAACTCGACAGTCGGCCACTAGCTTTTCAAGTGGAACTGCCGCTTCAGTGCTGTCTCCAGGGGTTGCCCTTGAGACATCGGCTCTGGGAACGGACATGCTGACGTACATAGGTGGTATTAGCAGCGTGCGAATGCCTAGCAATGTCGCCCAGCAGTCACCTGTTGCCTTCCTGACAGGAAAGTCTCCACGTTCAGGATTGACTTACAAGGAAAACTGCCCGACTGGAGTGTGCCAGACTTCGTCGCCGACTGAAGAAGCGCCACTCATATGGCGGCGGCTGGGAGCCGAAAGTGGTTCTACAGAACCATCCTCAGTTACCGTAACAGTGGAAGTTCCAGGGCAGAGAGGTGCATCTTTTTGGTTAGTTGCGGATAGCGTTGAGCTCTTCTTTTACGTCGTTATTCTACACCACAACACGGGACTTCTTTTCCAAAACTGTATTCTCTTCGACATCTTGCTTCTCACCACGTGCTTGACCTTCATTCTCACTGCAGCTGTTTCTACGTCTAACACCATAGGGTATGTTCCAGTACGACTTGTGTCCCGGCGGCTGTCTATATTAACCGACCTCACTTAGAAACCGTTTTTGCAGCGCCATAGCTTTCTGTCAGCTGCCGTGTACTTCCAGATGAAAATATCACTTCTGTAATTGTGTGTTCGGCTGTTTTGTCATGCTAGGATGGTCGTTAACTTCCCGTGCTACGTTTTTTTCAATTTGGTGAGTGATACTTCGTGCGCGCGCGAGACCGACAGTTTGTTCCTGTGGCCACTTTACTGCATACTGGGCTGCATGCCGCACACGCTTCCACGGGCTGCTTTTGCGTGCAGGTTAGCGCCTATTGGAAGGAATATATTGATAGGCTAACCTTTTACGTTAATGAGCACGCGAAGACGACGGAGGGACGAGCAACGCAACTCCTTAACGACATGTTGCCAAAACAAGTGGGACCCGTGGCCGTTTACACCTATAGTCACCAGTTGTGCTCATGAGGAGCTGTCGCAATGAGTAGCACACCAAGTGTGGCTTAAAGTGGAATGCGTTTGAAATGCAGGTACTGGAGGAGTTTCAGCAGGATAAGCTTCGGCTTGCCTACACGCATGACAGAATGACATTTCTGTTTGCTGATATTTGCGGCTTCACGAGTTGGGCAAAGAATGTCGACGCCTGCGAAGTAGGACGCTTTTTGTCACTTGTGTACTATTGTCGTCCCTGCCCCATAGTTGCGTCCTGCACAGGCGAAATCGAACTACGGAAGCTGCTGTGGTGGCTTTCTAGTTTGGAATTACCCATGGAGGCTAGCAGTGAGGCTGACTCGTATATTTGTGGCTGACCCGTTGTATACTCTTCCAGGTGGTGACGATGCTACAAAAACTCTTTGCCAAGTTTGACCGTGACAGCACCAAGTACAAGCTGTACAAGCTGTGCACTATTGGTGACGCGTACGTAGCAGTCAGCGAACCAGTGACGGAAGATAACGAGGTGGGCATGCAATCAACCGGTTGTTTCCTTATGGTTTCTCCGGCATGCTCGGCAGAGCGGATCGCTTCGCAGTCTGATCGCTTCGCAGTTTGTGTTGCAGCAGATAAAGTGCGCATAGGGCGGTTTAACGGGTAGTTACCATGGTGTCACTTCCATTTCTATTGTATACAGTAGCTGGTTAGCTTTTTGCAGACGCGAGCACACGATATCTTTGCGTCTGCAGTAGCATTTTCTACATTCATAGTGAGTAATAGTAATAAGTTCCCTGCGGACGCAGTTCGCATTGTGGAGGTTTGCAGGACTACGACCCAGTGGAGGGCACTGGCTTGGTGCTAACTATGGCTCAGTCCATGATCACCAACATCCAGGAAGTTCGCGAAAGACTGAACATTCCCAGTCTGAATATGCGCATTGGTAAACTGCCATGATCGTTAGGAAGCTCCAGTATGTGCTTGTTCACTGTCCCAAAGCCGTTTTCTATTGCGTATCGCGACTCTTTCTTGCAGGCTTGCACTATGGGACTTGTGTTGGCGGGGTGATTGGATCTGGGAGGCTGCGGTAAGCATTTCTAGGAAAAGTGCAGAGTGATGGACTACAGCGTGCCTTTTGACGTTGGCAGATGGAACTAGTGAAGCAGTTGTGTCCTGCATGAATGCCGGACTAACGTGCTTATGTCGCATAATGAGGATGAGGGCTGAAGCTTCTCTTTTGCAAACAGGTACGACTTGTGGGGGATGGACGTTCTCACGGGCAACATGATGGAAAGCAACGGTCAGCCTGGAAAGGTCAATGTTAGTGCAATTCTCCGAGACTTCCTGTTAAAGCATTTCCCTGGGTTCGTCGTAGTCGTTGATTCTGCCGCCATGCGAAGCAGCCTCCGACGTTTCCCCGTGGCACGCATAGAAGACCCTGCATCATGTTGCTTCAGTTAAAGATACGCAGTATCTACATTTTTGAATGTTTTGTTCAGTGAAGGGTTTCGGCCAGCCTTCCAGCGCACACTATGCCTACATTTGAGCTGTCTTTTTAGTAACAGTTCATGTGGTTTATTGAACTGCAGGAAGTTCCAATTCCGATTCAACAAGAGCGTGTGTGTCATCAACAAGACAGTAGATTCGTACATCATACACCCCGCGTAAGTAGTAGTTGCTTCCAGGGCAACTCGCCTTTTGATTAGGGTTATAGCGCGATCTCCGTTTGCGTCTACAACATTACGTAGTCACTGTTGCTGGAAAAGCCCTGACCGCAGGATTGTGTAGGATTATTCTCGTGTGCATATTGGCGTGTCACATGCTCCTTCAGAGGTGAAGCGACCGATGAGGATGCGATAGCTCAGCCCGACGGGGCTGTGCTGCCCCCTCAAGGAGTTGCAGCACCAGTACCACGGCGAGACGATTCTAGGTAATCCGGCTAACTTACTTCAATAGGTTATTTTGCACTGACACATCCCGTCTGAAACTGAATTCTAGCTGCGTTTACTGAAGCAGAAGTGAATGTTAAATTCCTTCACTTCCTCGGTTTTGGGCTCGCAGCAGACAAGACATTCGCGGAAGAGTTTCTCGACGGGGGTCCATTATTGGTCTACATCGCGCGCTTGGACGTAGATGCAGCGTCCGCGGTGGCTTTGAGAGCAGCGCCCCGACAGAATCTCCTCGCGTAAGTGGGCCCAGTGTCAGCAGGCCTGCATCGCGAACCAGCAGCCGCCCTAGTCTTGTACCACAGGAGGAAGCCGTAGACGAGGGTTTTAACAGGCAACAGCGTGACGTGGAGGGTGTGGCAAGTAAGTTGACTAAGTGGCTTTTTCCTTCTTTCGGGGCTCAAGTGGCGTAGTCGTTGAAGTATGAATCTCATGCAGACTTGTAGAGACCCAACAGGTTAACTCATTCAAAGCCTTGTGTCAAAGCCTTGTGTCACGTTTTTGCTCGTGGGACTCCACTTTCGTACGGTAACGCATTCTAAGTTTGACACTAACTAACGTAAAGAATCGAGTGCCAACTTGGTGGATGGAAGATTATTTCTCTCGCTTCTTCTGTTGACAAGGACATTCCTCTGCAGGGTTCTGGGGTCTATGCGTATGGCTTCGATTTGCTGCTGGCGGCATTTCGTGGGTGGATGTCGTTTTGTTGCTGCTTCAGCTGGAGGTGCCGGTGGTGCCCCGGAGAACGTCGCATTGCAGACACTGAAAAAGGCGAGCAGCGCGGGCCACTCAAGTGGCGTGGGCATGCAACCTATTTCTGTAAGCTGTTCACCAAAAGGTTTTGGAGGGCTTTTTAGGAACTTTCCGTGTAGGGGAGTGGGCCCGCCTTCATTTCATGATTTACAATCCGCTTCTCTGGATAAATCAAAGGGCGTAGACTAGCAGCGGAACTGTGAGTGACTGTACTTGGGTGATATCTCAGGAGGAAGGAGCAGCTCTCACGCCAAGTCCAGACTACAATAGCGAGAGCTCTCCAGAAATATACTAGAATGTGATGGGGAGAATGCAACAGGATCGCGCATTATTAGTTTTCGGTCAGGTGGCCGGATTAGGGGTCATATGAGCCTGGCGCGAAGAGCAGCTCATCAGGTAGCGAGAGCGCCCTCAATGTGTGAGAGGCCCTCAGACAAGGCGTCTCTTTGCTTGTTGCGTCCTGTGACTTACTCATTGGCTCTTTCCGTGGGGGTAGTACTTTGGTTGTACCCGAAAGGCGTGTAGCTTTTCGTAGCCTCGCTGCACTTCGTAGCGTCGCGACATCCTCGGGTTGGCGTTGCCACAACTGTTTTCCTCAGCATCGGGGGACCTCTCAAATACTTCTCTACATTCAAGTGTACATGAATGCAGGTAGTGCTCATGCGGCGTATTCAGCTCCTTGAGCCTCTTTCCTACGTGTAGCTTGTGTTTTCGAGCTTGTTAAAAAACATTGCAGAATCAAGATCTCTAGATGTCCAAACTGGGCATACTGTAGGGTGCAATGAAACTGTTAGTTGGAACAACTGAAGCTTCTATTGGATTAGACTGCCCTTTGCACAGAACTTGCTCAGTTTAGAAGGTCCAAAAGCAAGAGTTCATAGCTTCTGGGAAGTGGCCACGATTCTCTTCACGCTGCAAACGCCACGCAGTCCGAAGGGGATATGCAAGCATGAGCCCGACGCAATTGTGCATGTTATCGGGAAATTGTAGACCACTTACTTTCGTGCTAATTATCAGGCCACATATACTTTTACTTCTTCGCCAGAGCTGCAGCAAGTTTGAGCACTACTTCGTCGCTCCCGCGGGATCCAAACAACAGCCATCCATCGGCAGAGACAAAACAGGGGAAGCCAGCAGCCGTTACGACGGCCAACAGCTGTTCATGAACGCCCCTAAATGTTGTTTGTGGTTCGAGGGACGGTGTAGCCTTTGGGGCTACGCCGTGCGGGCTTGCAGTTGGTGTGTGGGGGCCTACACCAACGTTTACTGCTTCCGATGCAGACACACAATCAACAAAGAGGGGCTGTTCCAGGTTCGCTTCCGAGGTCTCTGCGAAATGCAGCAGGGCGTCAGCTTCTGTGAAAAAACTGTCTAGATGCTCCCGAATTTCCTGTTGAGCAATGCGGGCACAACGCAGCAAATCCGTCCTGCCGCGGTCTTGTAGAAGTACCCCTCCTGCAAGAGAAAAAGAAGCAAGATGGCACAAATTGGCGAATTCCTCAAGATCGCATGGATCAAGTCTGTTTCCTCTGTCTGGTCAGCAGCCAGCGTCCTGCTTTACTCATCTACTCTGCCTTGCCGTTGCAATGCTCATAGGAGCATTTATCTTATGCTTGCGCTTTCGCATGTTGAGGACTCTTGCAACCACTACGCTGCGTGCTTGCCGCGGGGCTCTTGTTTAGCCTTTCTAAATTCCCCTACGGATACAGAATGCCTCTCCCTGGCAATGCCTCTCCCTCCATTCACCTACCAAGCAATATTTTTCGTATAACATCGAGGCTGAAGGCCTTTGCCCTCTCCGATAGGACATTCATTCTAAAGCAACGATTATGCTGCTGCTCCTGGTCTTCCTGCTGCCCCTGATGTCTACTGTCTTGTCGCGCTCTCTGCGGCTGTCTGAATGACCTCACACAGCAAACGGCATTAATGTTCACTGTATCGGCCTTGAGCAGCACAACGAGTTGACGAGCGAGCTATCCATTTACAGCACACAGCAAATGTAACGCACCGTTGGGATGGAAAGGGCTCCTGGGTGCCCCCTTCGCCAATCCGTAGAAGGAGACCAGCTGCTTCACAGCACTGGAGTAGCGCCTGTCCAACCGATGCGCGCTGAAGCGTCTCCGCTGCAATACAGGCGACCGCAAGGTTTCGGCAGCTTCCAACTGACTGCTTTTGTTTCTGCTGCGTCTGCTGAAGTTTCTGTAGACGCTCCAGGAGTTCCTGCCGCTCCAATGCCAAGGGTAAGTGAGCGGTGGATTCTTCATTGCCTGTGACTTGTAGACACGTAACTCGAGGGCAGACTACAATGTCTCTTCTATTCATTGAAGTTGTCTTTGTCTGCGCTTGCTCTAGGTAAAACCTGAATGTCTGAAGGTCGCAAGGGTCAGCTGCCTTGAGTACCCTAAAGATTTGATGCAGCACTGCCACATCCCCTCCGCAAATCCACAAAGCGGGGGTTCCGCAAGAGGCCTGCAATAGCGGGGAAGCGTTCCCTGAAGCCACAGCTGCTGTATTGTCTCTTCTTAAGACATCAGCTGCACTGAAACATCCAAACAAGCTCACGCTACCCTTGGAAGGCGAGAACCCCATCCTGTAACCTCTGCCCGCTCGAGCATCTCCTGTCTGTCTCTGCTCACTAAAAACACAATTGCCGCTGGTGCTGCCGCTCGCATGAGCTTTCCATGTTACGCCTCGCTGGATGGGAGGGCGCGCAGTCACTTCCAAGCGACCCTGAGCACCATCTGTGTATGTGGAGGTTGTCGGCAAAACACCAGAAGTCACGACGGCCCCTGCTGATTTCAAGCGCGTCACAACCGTTGCCTCATAAGCTACCGGGCCTTTCAGCATGCCTAAGCACCGCAAACATGACAGCAACAACTGAACAGCAACGTTTATTCGGTGCCCATAGAAATATTAGGACAGCCATGTTCACCACTGGTCAGTCTCCAGGCGTTGTGGACTCTACAAAATAGGAGTATTTTGTTGATGGAGTGTTTCTTCAACGCCCCCCAATGGGGCCTCCACTGACATACGTAAATCAAACAAGCCTAAGAACTCACTAGGTGTGTCACCCCATGTCTCGCGACACCGTATGATTGGGCTTACGGATACACAAACACCGCGTAGGGACCCAGACGCTTCAGGACCAAAGCATGATGCTTCGGTAGTTTGCTCGGGAACATCTGCCGTTATATTTGCTGCCGTTCCTGCTGCCGCTTCACCTGCAACTGATGCAGTTGCTGAAGCCGGGCCGGCTGCTGTTGCCTTCTCCCGAGCAGCACACGCTGCTCGGGAGGCGGCTAAGAAGATATGAAGATCGTTGGAAGGTCCTGAGAGCTGCCCCCTATGTGAAGATAAACAAGTATAGCAGCTGGTGGTGACACGAGGATAACACGAGAAGCAGGCCCTTTGCCTGAGAATGTTGCCATTACAGCCAATGTTGCAGTGTGGTCGAAAGATCAACCTGCCACCATTGCCGCTGATGATGTCTGTGCTGCCGTTGCTTACTCCTTTGTACAGAAAGCTGCAGTGTTTAAAGGGTGCATGCAGCCCCTGTGCGGGCGTGAAGTCACCAGATAATACCAGCAACCAAAAACACAAGGTCTGCAAAAGGTTGCGCCAGAAAGACCCCCTCTTGCCCTGTGTGCCTTTTGGGGCATTCCATTGAGAAGTGACGCCGTCCATAGACGTCACGAAGGCCTAGGGATATCCTTGGTACCGATAAGCAGCTGCGATCTCCTTAGGACTAACAGGAGACTGCGCTGCCGACAGGGAGGGTCCAAATCCAAATTAGGTCTTTTGCATATGACGCCGAAGACCAAATGAGAAAATGCAATAAAATCTAAACAACACTTGGTCAATAATCAGCCGGCCAAGACGAGGGCCCCATGGAAGCTTGCAAGGACCCCCCGGGGTGACGTTCGGGGGCCCTTCTCCGCCTGTGCAGCGCCAAAATCTCAGGGCAGGAGCAGCACTGAATTCAAAGTGCTTTCATCTCTAAAACAGTGAATCTCTCAACAATTTTGACGGAATCTGATATATAAGAGAACACGCTGACGGTCGGGGCCATCTCATGCCCTGCCATAAGCTTGCTTCCATCATCCTTATGCTGCTGCGTACTGCTGCTGCGTAGTACCCTCATGGACACGCCTGTTATGAGCGTAGCACCCGATGAGGCTGTGTGAACCACTGTGACGTTGCAGATGGAGGGCGTGCCCTTCAGCCGAAGCCCTCCGGCGCCTACAGACGGCGTCTTCCGCTCTGCTGGAGCTCAGTCGTTGGAGTCGACTGGAGCATCATTGTTTCGAGCCTCTTCTACAAGCAGTGCAGCAGGAGTGTTCTCACTTGGAAGCACCGCTGGGTCTCCCGCCCCGGGCGTCCTCTCAAGCAGAATCAATACACTCCGTGGGTCGGCCTCTGCCGCTTGCGGGGAACCTTCCCCCTTTACGGGTCCCGCAGCTGCAGAAACCGGCCATCAGGCAGCTGACTCTACTTGCAGCAGCGTTTTCAACGCAAGCAAGCCCGGGAACGGGGACAATGGAGGCCCGTTTGGCGAGGCCGGAGGTTTAGGTTCGCAGTGCCTCTTTGCTGCTGGCAGCAGCAGCAAGTCAGCTGGGGCCCACTCAGAAAGTGCTTCATCGGGCATCTCTACCAGAAGATCTCTGGGGGATTCTAAGACCGAGGTGGCCATTTCTGGCACGTCAGGCACAAGCAGTCAAGTTTTCGCCCCCCCGCCAACTGGGCTTTTCTCGAATACTATCTACGGAAGTAACCAAGACACTGGGGCTACTGCAACTACTGGCGCACCACAATCAGCAGGGCGCCCAACTGCTTCAGTCCTCAAGGCTACTGCACCTGGACTGGCTCTGCGAAGTGTTGCCTCTGGGGGCAACTTGTTTGCAGATAATGCGAATCTGAGGAGGGAAGGAGAACTCTCTGGAGTTTGCCCTACTCTATTAGGTGTTAATTTTACTGCAGGAGGCCCCTCAGGTAGTAAACTAACGAACGGGGATATGCTTAGGGACATTCCTGCGAATTCCACATCTGGGATGTCGCCCTTTACGGACACTTCTGGAGCCCTCATCCCAGGGGCCTCACTACAGAGAGGGTCAGCAAAAGGAGCTGTTCCTTGTGGGAAAGGTCTGTTTGCCACTGCTCTGGCCAGTGAATCGTCGGGCGCCGCCCTGGTAAAAGCCCGGAGCTCGGACGATAAAAGCGGCAGTACCGGTTTGTTTGAAGGTGCTGCTTATTCGGGGGGAGAGCGGGGCACTTTATTTGGCAGCAGTGTTTCCGGCCGCAACGGTGCTTCTGAGGGTCTTATTGAGGCCTCTGTTGGTACTGGTTTGTTCTCACGCTTACCTGGGGGATTTGATCAAAATCGAGCCAGTGGAAGCGTCTTAGCGGGAGCCTCAGGTGAAACTGTCACCTTCACATCAAGGAGGAGCAGTTTGTTTGGGGTCCCCGCCGAGGGCACGTTCACAGCTGCAACTAATAACAGTGACAGGGACGTGGAGGGAGTCGTTGTTACTGACGGTAAGGGACCTTCACGATCACAGGAAGGCTCTTTCGGGCCTTTCCGCAGCAGGGGCGCCTCTTTGGGATTTGAAACTAGTACTGAAGCAGAAACAAGGCCAGCCGGTAGTAGCACTGGAAGCAGGAGCAACATCTTTGGCCTTACTGACGGGCATTCCCAGCTTGCTAACCGCAGCGGAGTTGCGCCCACAGCGTCAAGCGGCCCACAAGGGTCTCATTTCACTGGAAGCGCTAACTCCTTTTCTAGTATGGAAGCGTCGCCAGAAGACCCAAGCAGCAGCACTAAGGGCAACACAAACAAGAGTAGTGTAATTGCTGTGCACGGGCGAGGCAGGCTTTGTGTGCCCGAAGGCCGTGCGGTGCCGCCTCCCTTGCCAGCTCCTTCGGGTCCCGAAGGGAATCCTATGCTTCAAGCTGATCTTGACGAGGGAGCGTTGATCCTAAGGGTACAGGTGGTGCAGCAGCTGCAGCAGGTGCTGCAGGAGGGGATCTCGTCTACGCTGTCTCCAGCTGCAGCAGCAGGTAATGACCCTTCTTCGGGAGGGCCGTTTGTAGGCCACTTGTGTGGCTGCTGCAGCACAGAAGAAATGCTTGACAAACAACAAGTTTCCACGGCATCGGATTTTGAGCGGCTAGATGCAACGGTCCCAGGCGATCCAGAGGCGCGCATCGTAAGTTGTTTCACCCACAACGAGCCATCTGCCCAACATTAGAAATTCCTTGCTGCTAAAATACTTAGCTGTCTTCTGGCTGTGTGTATTGGTTTTTGTTTGCATGCTAGTGCCTGTCGGCAGGTCGCCATGTACTGCGTGAGCTCCAGCAGTCTGGCATGTGCCGATGCGGTTTAATGGCTTTCTTTACATGAATTCGCTAATGATGCTGGTGCAGGTGAACGTACATCTGGCCTTTTCATCATTTCGGCGAAGTGACGCTGGGAAGCCCTTTAAGCAGTCTGACACCCGACCGGCAGTTTGGTGTCGGCGCGCCGTCCATGCATTGCTTACATATTTTGCTGACGCAGATCTGACGAATGGACCTCAGCAGCAGCAGCAGCAGCGGCAGGTCCTGCCTCGGAAGGAATATCTGTACTGTCGACCCCGGCCGTACACTTATATAGATGTGTACAACTTCCTGCGGGACCGCCTGCGAGCGTGCTGGCAGGAGCTGACAGTGCAGCACGTGTCTCCCCACCGGGCATCCATTGAGACTTTGGAGATATCTTTTCGCTTTTTGGTCCTGTCTGAAGAGCTCTTGGCTGGAACTCCTGGTTTTGACGCTGTCTCCAACCACGGTCTCATGCAGACCTGTCTAGACAAGCTCATGCAGGGATACGAGGCAACTCGCGCCTTTCGCAGCAAACGCGACGCTACTGCTGCGGCGGCGGTGGCAGCCGCCACTGCTACTGAAAATGAAGGAACAGTGGCGAAAGACATTAAGGCGTTGATGGATCTGCTTGTCTACTCCAGTCCGTACGAGGGGGAGTTTTGGGGCTTCAGGCTACTGATGCTGTTATCACAGGAGGCGAGTGATACGGCTCTGGTGTCTCTGTTGCAGCGACTGCCGCAGCAGCTGCAGCAGGACCCGTCAGTGCGTTTCGCTCTTGAGGCGTACAGGGCATTTAGGGCCCTGGATCTTCGCCGCTACGTGAGGCTAATGCGAGAGGGGCCCTACCTGCTGTGTGTAATGCTCCATAAGTTTTTGCCGTATGCACGCGCACGATTCCTTGCTGTTCTCGTTCTCAGTAGACTGACTGGGGGCTCAAGAAACCCAATCAGCCCGCAGCGGCTTTCGCTGCTGCTGGGTTTCGATGGGGAAGACGGTAAGGATGGTATTTTGGAGCGTTGGTTACCGTTGCTGCTGCTGTTTATTCTAGTCTCCAAAATTGTACCTGTGCGGCATTTTAACAGGGCTCTGCAGGTTGCTGCCGTTGGAGCTGCTGCCGCCTATTCTGACTGTGTTGGAAAGTCCCTTGTGGAGGCTCCGGACTCTTTTGCTTTTGCTGCTGGAACTGTGCAGGTGAGATGTTTCCGGCCTTCTTGGCTGCTTACGGAATCCGTACTGCAGTATCCCCCCGGGGAAACCGAGTATGCCTATTGGAGGAGACGGACAAAAGTCTTCTCCAGGATCTTTCTTCCTACAAGAAAGCTAAAGGTCCAAGGGCTCCCTCTGCATACCTCATGAGCCCGGCTTACCTGTCCAGGCAGCAGCTGCTTGACCCAGACTACCCAGCAGCTGCATTCCCTGCCGGACGACAGCAGCACGAGCAGCAACAGTTGCAGAGGCTGTCAGCAGCGGAACTGAGTAAGGCATTCTAT